TGGACAGGTATCCGAGGACCATGATGAAGATGTCGAGAGCCTCGGCGTTCTTGAGCAGGTCGAGGAACTCTGTCCAGCCGTTGCGAGCCCACTGGACCAGACTGTTGCGGGTGTGGACCTTGGCAGCCTTCATAATCCACATCTTCTTCTCCTTGCCATGCATCGTCTCCGTCTCGTCGCTGGTGGCATCGGGGATCTCCTGAGCTACTGACAGGAACTCGGCGGCCTGGGAGTAGGGCACGGCGAAGGCTAGGGCGCTGTCCTGGGAGTAGGTAGTCAGGGAGTTGGAGGTCGAGGGAAGCGAGGTGATGGAGAGGTTCTGGGGAATCGGAACGGCGTGAGTGCGCGGTGCGGTGTTGATCGACTCGGGAGACTGAGACTCGGGAAAAACGAGGGTCAGGAGAGCCTGGTGGTCGACTTCACCGGCGATGGAGGCCTCGGGCTCGACGTTCTGCCATTTCCAGGCAGTTTCGGGGCCGGCTTGCAGGCGTCGGCTGCCCTCGACGAGGGATGACCAGTCGGCGGTGCGGACACTGATGGTGGCATCGAACAAGCTCTCTTGCAGCAATCCAACGTACGAAGTGCTAGCCAGAACAGCAACAATGACAACAGTGTGGATAGGGTGCGAGCAGGCGAGCTTGGAGAGGAACTTTAAAGCTGGTGTGATCTTCTTGTTGACCCAGGAGGGGGCAGCGGCCTGAGCGGCAGGCTGCTCACCCCGAAAACGGCGGGGGAGAAGTGTTGAGGATATCATGGCGAAAGTTGCGGTGAATCAAAATCGTCTATTAGAAGGAAGGCATTGGTGTACGACGACCGAAGAGAAAGGGACGAAGGCGATGCCTGTCTCTTGAGGTTAGCGATTGAAAGCACTTTGGTAGGCAAAGAAGGGGCGGTAGTGTTGCCGCGGTGGGTGAGTGCGCGAAAAGACGCGGAGGGGTGGTTGGTCTATTTGGTGGGAGAGAGATGGGCTGGGTGGAATTTGGGTTGAGGAATTTTGGCGACGGAGATGAGATGGTTTGTGTGGGATGCGCTGCGCTGCGCTGCAATGCCGATTGGAGGGGTGAGTTTGACGTACCTGTTGAGCCAACGCCGTTGACGTTGTTGGAGTTTAGAATTGCAGCAAAGTGCCTCACAAGCTCGAACACAACGAAGGGGAGAAGAAGTTTTTCTCGTGAGGAGGCACCGAGGGAATCAAATTAATAGGTGGTTGCGAAAGGTGTCGGAGATCGAGGGTGATGGTCGCGGAGAGCCGAAGTCGCAAGGAGCTGTTGAAGTGCTCGAATCGGAGGCGGGAGTGGATTGCTCAGTTCCTGTTGAAGAGGATGCCTTGCAAAAAGGGGTGGAGGGGGAGGGGGGCGGAAGAAGAAGATCACTTAGAGGGAAGAGGAGTAAGAATCAAGAGTCGCGATGCAACGGGCAGCCCGGTACCTTTTAAAAGATATGGAGACTAATACTATCAGTCTCTCTTCCCAGGTGCAGTACACAAGTGGCGTAGCGGGGGACGAGGATCATGAGAGTAGATAGATGAGGTGAGAGGTGTGAAAAGGATAAGATAGGAGAGAGGCACGAGAGGATAGTAGCGAGCTTAAGCAATGGTTCGTGTTCCTCTACCTTAACTCAAGGTAACTTAGGTACCCAACAGGCACTGGTAGGGAACTGGTAGTGGTGGGCAAGGAGGTGTGCAGGGGACAGAAAAACAGAAAATAAGATCGAAAAAACAAGAAGAGAGTTACCAGACACCCAGATGTTTGTCAATGGCACAGCGAACGGAGCCTGTGAAGCTGGCAAAGGTACCTGCTGTTTTGCGGGGTGAGAGGGCGGATTCGGAAGTATCTCAAGGATCCACCTTGGGACGGAAAGTGAAATGACGGTAATCCCAGCAACATGTTGGCGCAACTTTGCAAGTCTCTTTTTTTTCGGTGGTGCCCGGCAATGATGATGAGCGGCGCGCCAACATGGATGGACATCTTGGGCCGAAGAGGGACGCGGCAGCAAAAAAAAAAAAAAAAAAAGTGATGAATTGGACAAGGATGGTGGCCGCCCCACCAAAAGGCAAATTTACCGATGATGGTCCGCGCCGATGTACCGCGGTACTCCGAGAGGAACACTCGCAGACTAATCCTGAAACGGCAGAGCACCCCGTCGTATTATCACGCCGAAGCAGATGCACACAGGGTTCTCTTCGGTGCTTGTTGGTGCTCGACAGCGGCTTGTTCATGTTCGAGAGCTTCACCTAATTGTGCAAGTGTCGAAGTCACGTCTTCTCGGCCGGGCAGACGTTGGGCGTGGCGGCTTGGTGCGCCCGCCTGTGGCATCTGGCACCTCCCACCCGTGACAATAGACAGCCTGTCGCCATCCGCTAGAGCACCCTGCGCAGTGTTGGGAAAGGCCAGGCGGGCACTACTGCCTTCCATCATCACTAACAACCTAACTTAGGTAGTCTGTATCCACGGGCTCTGGAGTCCTGGAACTTAGAAGTACCTGTGGTGGTAGCGAATGTGTCATAGGAGCCACAGCACTGCCTAGCTGCAGACGACGCACCCGCACGGATGGCGCGTCACATCTCATCCACTCGTTGCTCTTCGCTATAATGTATCATGATGTGGCTCTGTTGTTAGTGTCTGCGATTTTTGGCCAGAGAAGACTAAAATGTCATCGGAGAAGCACGAGTGGAAAGGTTGCTGCTCTCTGAAGAACAGATCAACAGCTGAGACCTATCTAAATCAGCCTCAAATGCAGTTTGCTCGACTTGAAGGTGTGGTGTTGCTGCTCTGATGCATGTTTGCTTCCTGATAGTCGCGTATCTTATCTAGCCCGATTGAGACATGCAGCAACAGCAGCAGCGCACTTCGGATAAGCCGATAAGACACCTCGAGATAAGCCACGCTTACTTGTTTTCCAATGGAAGTCTGACCTGACCTTGGAATGACTGAAGCCTTGCGTGAAGAGTACGACCCTCAAACATTCAAGAGCACTGCCGCCTGGCCGCCGCGTCATATTTGACAAACACGGGACCTGCTGAGACGATTCTTCAGCTGCTGTGCCTCAAAGAGACGGATGAAGCAAGGTACCTTTCAGAGGTACATACTCGGGATAGGTACCACAGACGCAGCTGGGACGGCGGTAAGGTGTGATTCGGTGTCGAGGCGGGTTGCAGTGCCTGTGCGCCGTGCGTCGTGCGTCCTTCTGCGTGGTTAACTCGCTTCTGGAAGGCAGCCTTTTGTGATTGAAATGGAAATGTGTTGAGGCGAGAGGAACGTGGAACTGAACAGGTTAAAACCTGCCCTGGGCTCAGATGAATTACCTCAGCTGAGGTAAGTTGTCACTTATGTACCACTGGGCGTGGTTTCCTTCTTCTGCTTCGTGAGATACGAAGTACTTTGTAGTTGCACATAAGAATCCGTGCCTTCCTCGATACACCTCAATGAAAGAAATTCGTTCCTTCCAGTTCAGGGTCGAATGTCAATTGACACCTACGATATGTCCTAATTGGGAAAGGCGGCTTTTGTGGAATTGCGGTGGGTCTCCCGCTTTTGCAGCAGTGCAAAGATGGCTCCCACGCTCCTTTCTGTTGCTTTTCGTTGGCACTGCATTTTGCTCTTGCATTTGAGACACCATTTTTCTCGACTTCCTCGCTCGACTCTTCCCAAATCCGTCGGGTTACAAAACAATTCCGTTCATGCATCAACTTGACCCATTCTTACGGCACCAGTTACCGCTGTGCCGCATGAGCCTCACCTGCGACATCTCACTAAGGTACATGCGAAAACTCCATTCCAATTCCTACCTCAGTCTCTCACAATCCGCAGAACCCCATGTCGACGACTATTCCCGTCCCCTGCCAGCCTCCCCCAGATGGAAAGATGCCCCTCGACATGGACATTATCCAGATTCCAACAGACGGGAGAGAGGAGACAAGAGACATTCCTCTGCCCGCTTCCAGCCCTCTTTTGCAAAGTCTCTAGCCTCTCTCGGATTATCCCCTCTTGCGGGCCTGATCTGATATGATGGAATGGCCCCTGCCCACTCAACTTGAATCCCCCCTCCTCCCGGTCCTTTCTCATGTTATCTTGACGTTTCCGAATAATGGTGGGCATCAGCGGGTACAGCCCGGCGGTGAAGCTCCAGTCACGGTCAAAGGTTCGTCGCCAACGTCCATCAACGTCAGATCTGTGCAGCGGACCCCTGGCCATCTCCCTGTATTTTTTTTTTCGCCTTGTTCCCCGTCTTTGTTTCTTACCTGGCACCTCAAGCCTTGTCACTGGGCTAGTGGTCACATCACTGCTTTTCCGAGAGTCTGCGCCTGCATGGACCAGCTGAAGGTCCCGAGTTCTGCCCTTCCCCCTGGGCCCATGCTGCTCTATCGCGGGGCCACGGATCCCTCACGACCCGCCACTACCCAAGCATCGCTGACCACGTCAACAGCACAGCAAGGCCTTGTCGCTTGAGACTGAGAGTATCTGCCTTAGTTCACGAATACATTAGGGATTCTGCCAGTCTGCTCTACTCGCTCGCTGTTACGAACAAAGTCCGAAATATGGGCAAGCTACTTGGTTAGCGGCCGTTGACGAGCCATAATAGCTAACTTACTGTACAGTGTACTAGATGGTAAAGATAAGTTACTGGGGCGTACAGAAACCTCAGTCTCAAACATGACGACAAAGACGAGAGCCCAGGGTACGTATACACGGCTACTCCATCATTTACCAAGCTGCATACGCTGTCACGCTGTCTAGAGCTATCCGTACATGCACGAATACAGCACCTCTGTTGTCGGGGAAGGGCTGTATCAATGCATGTGCCCTCTGCACTATTGAGCCTGATGCTGGTAAACCCAACTCGGCGGTTCCCCAAACGATGTCAGTCCTTGAAACACCAGACATTCCGAACTCATCGCATAGCCTATCTTGGAGGGAACATGGAATCAGCGTTGGCCTTTGCTTGGGGTTTCCAGTGTCAAAGATATCAGACGGCTTTGGAAAACAACGTTGGTCGGCCCCTCATCCCCGTACAGCCGCTCCAACCCTACGGACCTCCGGGCCCTCCATGTTGATAATCTTCACTCCGCTGGCCTCCAGGGCGCCCTTGCACTCGTCCCATTTCTCAGCATCCACCGGCCTGGTGCCCTCTTCCACAATGAAGGTCCGGAACCCCTCCTTCTGGGCATCCAGCGCGGTGCACTTGACGCAGTAATCGCCAGCCAGACCAACCACATAGACGTCCGTGACGCCCTTGTCCTTAAGAGAGGCCGCAAGCCCGCTGTCGGACACTCTGGGCGACTGGAAAGGGTCGTAAAAAACGCTGTACATCTCAACGTCCTTATTCTGCCCCTTTTCGATGATAGTGTCTATGGCCGGGGCATCTAGCTCCGGCACCAGGGCCGCGCCGGGCGTACCCTGCACGCAGTGCACTGGCCATAGCCGCGTGTGGAATGTCTCGGCGCTGTTTCGCGGGTTGACGATGTCGATGGCATCGACAAACGGTTGCTTGCCCTTGTGGTTTGATGCAAACGAGATATGACCTTGAGGATGCCAGTCCTTGGTCGCAATTTTGATGGTGAATGGTAGGCGCAGTAGCGCGTTGACAACGGGATGAATATCGCGGCCGTTGGCTACGGCGAGTGAACCATTCTGAAGCCGGTGTCAGTCTCACTTATCCATACCATCCACTACCGCTTACTTGGAACTTGGGAACTTCAGATCGCCAAGTCATGTCGAGCCAGGATCTGACGAACGGGGGAATATGACGTTCATCTACTTACAGGTGGGCAAAAGTCCTCTTGAAAGTCAACGACGATCAGCGCTGGTCTGAACGGTTCCTCCGACATGGTGGCTGATGCTTAGTATTTAGGCTGCTTGTTGGGAACTGCGTTCTGGCTGTGTGGCTGGACAGATGAACGAGTCAAGTGTCCACCAGTCAAGATATTTGCAGCGGCCTAGACTTGACAGTGTGTTTCTGGCTTGCAAACATGTGTCTCCCTTTGTTTTGCGTCGCGTGCGGCGTGCTGTCCATCAAGGCAGGTGGCAGAGCGGGTGCACAACCTACGATGGCATCAATGATAACGTCAGCTTTCTTCGGCTGCTTATCGCCAACGGTGGGGAACCAACAGTGGGAAACATCTCCTGCGAGGCTGCGGACCTGCGGTCAGCGAGTCTAGGGGCCCTTGCACCCAAATTACAGGCTTCAGGACGCTATTGGCAGACGCAAATTGCGGCAGCCCGATCTGCTGCCGCGACCTCCCTAGGTATCATTGTACCTCAGTCAGCAGCTCTAACCTTATCGGTTGTTTTGCGTTTCGTTATCTTATCTTTTTTCTTATCGCAATTGGTCCCAAAACACCCAAACGACAAAGCTGTGGACTCCAAAGTACCAGTCCGGCGGGATGCTACCTATGAGATTGACATCCATTAACTTGACTCGCTCGTCCACTATGCATTATCTCGTGATGCTATCTGCATCCTGAATTGAGAAGTTATGCAGCAGAATGACTCTCGCAAAACTACTACGAACTCGTTCCTCGCAATTTGACACACCCCTCACCACCAGCCCGCCCACGGTACCAGGCTGCAGGCACCATGCTGATGTGAGGAGCCCTGCCATGCCAGGACGCAGGCACTGGCCGCCTGGAAAGGCATTCAATGCGCCACTCTCCAGCAGCTGAAGCTGGGCCAAGCCCGGCACGGCAATGTCAGCACTCCAGAACGGGAAGTCCTGAGGTCCAGGAGCTTGCCTCGCTCTCCACTGTCCACCAGCGCAAAATCACCCACCAGTGCCACCCCATGGGGATCTCGACGACCATCTTGAGGCAGGCGAGATGCTCATTTTCGATACTCTCATTGGCTTGTGGTCGAAGCTGTGAGACATTGGTCGGTATCTTGAGCATTTGCTGAATGAAAGCTTCACCAGTAGGTACCTACCTATCGCTGTGTAACGATATCATCGCCTGCCAATATCTGAGGTGCAGTGTGTTCCGTGAGAGATACCTAGGTACAGAGTACGTCCTGGGCAACAGGGATCGTTCGAGTCAAGTGTTCGTGTACGGAGTACTTAGTACTCCGTACTTTGACAAAATGCTCCCCCCGGGCCCGTCAGTGGAGATCCGAGCTCGGCCGGGGCAGCTGCTTCGGTACACAGCGAGCGGTGGGCACTCCGTTCACCGGTACCGGTACTTCATTCACCCTGACGATCGTTTCCCAAATATCCTCAGCTTGCCGATCGAGACGTCATATCCATCCAACACTCAACGAATGCTCGAGTATAGTCCTACCAGTAAGTAGTCTTTGGCATCAAGCTGGCACAACTGGCATGCAAATGTGTTGGCTGTCCGCACCTCGCGAGTATCCAAGCTCCCGCCCCAGAACTCCCCAGAGCTGAGTCGTGAACGGAGAGCTCCTGTACCCTTTCTGGACCGAGGCGTCTCAGCCCTGTCGTGCCATTCTCCAATCACAAACACCAAATGGCCGTTCAACTGCGGATGTCTCCGAGAGCTGCTGCCGCCGTGTCTCGACGTGCCACATCAGACGGCAGCCAGCCACTTCAGAGGTGACAGGCCAATAGTGCGATGCAACGGGTTAGCATGTCGCACAGGTCACTCGCTGGAGGGGCGTCGCGGTATCTGATAAGAGCTCCAAGCTCCGCGTTTGCCTCGCAAGTTGCTGAAGAACCACCATCGCTTTTACACATAAACAACGAATACGCAGCTGAAGATGCGTCTCTCTACCATTCTCCTGGCCGCGGCCGTCAGACCGGCCGTTTCTTGGGGCAATGTCGGCCACCGTACCGTCGGATATCTTGCCGAGAAATACCTGACTGATGAAGCTGCCGCCATCTACGGGGACCTGCTCGCCAACGATCGCAACTACGACTTCTCCGATGCCGCGACTTGGGCTGACACGCTCAGAGGCCACATGGGCTGGGCAAGCAAGTATCATTACATCAGTACGGATACCCTCCCTTGGCTATGGCATAGCCACGCTCAGAGGACCAAAGCGCTCACGAATTGTTAGATCCCAAAGACGATCCTCCTAACCTATGCGGCATGAAGTACCCTCAAGACTGCCCATCCAGTGGCTGCATCATCTCCGCCATCACGAACTATGTATGAATGAATCACCCTCACCGCGGCAACCGTCAGAACTGACTTATTGGGACCAGACATCTCAAATCCTCGATACGAGCCTCCCGCACATTGACCGGAAGAATGCGACGATGTTTGTAATACACTTCCTGGGTGACATCCATCAACCCCTCCACGCCACGGGTCTCCTCCGCGGCGGCAACGACATCCGGCCAGTCTGCTGGCGCCGTCAGCCCAATCACGGAGTCTGCAACGGCCCGATGAGCCTACACTCCGTCTGGGACACACAGATTCCGCACCGCATCCGCGGTCTGCCGCCGCACCTAAGCATTCCGCAGGAGAAGGTCGCCGCCGCCGCATGGGCCGCTGACCTCTACCAACGCCAAGACCAGGCTGGTGTCAACGCGACGGCCGGACAGTGCATCGATTTAAAGACGGGGTCGTGTGCATTGGGATGGGCCACGGAGTCGAATGCGTATGTCTGTTCGCATGTGCTGAAGAAGGGCCTGGCTTGGCTGAAGTCGAATGATCTCAGCGAGGGGTACTTTGACGAGAACTGGGAGGTTGTTGATGAGGTTATCGGGAAGGCGGGCGTAAGGCTTGGGGCATGGTTGAATGCTATTGCTGAGAGGTTGTCTGCTGAGCAGAAGGAGCCTGTGTTTCAGGATCTTTGATCAAAGTATTGAACGGGCTTGGTCGCCGGGCATGATTCCCAGGCTGGATGGCGATATCTGAGCGTGATACTTGACGGGACTTGGCCTGCTGTCCAGCGCCGACTTGTACGTTACGAGTGTTTCTTGGAAGCTCACTCGCATATTGCGTTTGGCAGCTTCGATTAGAGAAAGACAAAAATTACCAGGATCCAAACCATTCAGCCCCGTCTTGGTTCCCCCAGATCAGGAAAGATGAGATACGCAAGGAACGAGCTCCGTGTTTCCTAGACCTAAGTTGAGGCAGTGCTCCGCAGATTATCAACCATGCATATGAAACAGTACCTGGTGAGTGATGTTCTTGAAGAACGATGAGAGTGCAGACTTTAACAAGGAACGAGGTATCCATGTTTATGGTGCAAATTCGCTTTTAGCGATTCTCAACCTTGTTCTCTACATACCTGAGCAATCGTCGGTCGTCCTTCACTTGGTAACAGTAAGTATCAGCATCGTCCCGGCTGGGCCAAGACTCTGAAGACTATGAAGAAACATCGACATGGGGAATACGTGAAGCTAGATATACCAGAGCAAGGCCTCACTAAATCCCTACCTTACATCCCTAAACTTGTAAAATTGGAGAGTGAAGTAGACTTATGACACCTCACCAGACTTCAGTAGACGCGATCGACAGGCCGTCGCCATTGCCATCGGAATTGAATCCTTCACCCTTTCCACTAGGTTCACCTGCAAACCAAAATGCCGGCCGAGGTGTCGTACACAACGGCGGACGATGTCACTGCTGAGCCCAGTTGCCGGGGGTCAAAGTTGGAGTCGAGACCTTGGACGCGGGGTTGGCAGGCATGCCGCAGGATGCTTCGGCCAAGTTGATGTTTTGTCGATTAGTGATTACTTGTATGTACTGGTGAATCTGCCGAGGCCACCTCCGCACACTGTGAACGGGAAAGATATAAGTATACCTTGGTGATGGAAAATGATAGGGATAGCAGTTCTACGTGGCATTATAAAGGCATCTCCACCTTCCACAGTAAGACATAACCTCCTCAAATACAATCACATTCGCAATGGCATCATCTCCAAACAAGCTCCCCGAATCATACGCCTCGTTCAATTATGATGGCCTCCTCGTCTCCCACGTCCCAGCGAGCTCGCAGTCCGTAACAAAGGTCATCATGATCACCCTCAACCGGCCAAAAAAGTACAACGCTATGAAGGGAGACATGTTCACCGGCCTCGAGGTGATCTTCAACACCGTCAGCGAGGACCCACGGGTTCGCGCGGTCGTCATCACGGGGGCGGGCAAAGCGTTTTCCGGAGGCGCAGACCTAGATGTCGGGTTTATGGGCATGGTTTCCCTCAAGGAGACTGAGGAATCGATGAGGGACTTCAGGGATTGGTAAGAGTTACCTTGACTCCGGGCACACGGTGAAGGGTGGTCTCCGTCAGAGGTTTGACGTGATATCTGGGCTGATGCATACTTCGTTCGTTACACAGGGGCGGGCGCGTCGCGCTGGCAATCTCAAACTGCAAGAAACCCACCATCGCCGCCGTCAACGGTGCGGCCGCAGGCGTCGGCCTGACGATGATTCTCCCGGCTACCATTAGGGTAGCCTACGAGGGTGCCCGATGCGGCTTCCCCTTTTCCCGGCGTGGCCTCGTCCTCGAATCCTGCAGTGCCTTCTTCCTCCCGCGTCTCATAGGGCTATCGCGCGCCAACCACGTCGTAGCGACGGGGGATATGTATCCTGTTACGGATCCGCTGGTCAGCGGTCTGTTTTCAAAGTTCTTGCCCTCGCCCGGGGAGACGGTAGAGTACGCGGTGAATGTCGCGGGGGATCTGGCGGAGAATACGTCGTTGGTGAGTACCAAGTTGATGAGGGATATGATGGTGTATTGTCCTCCCTCGCCTGAGGGGGCGCACGTGTTGGATTCGAGGGTGTTTGTGCAGCTTGCCGGGACGGAGGATAATATTGAGGGGGTGAAGAGTTTCTTGGAGAGGAGGAAGCCGGTATTTACGGGGTCTGTTGATCGGGCGAGTGTTCCGTTTTGGCCTTGGTGGGATAGGGATGACGGGCGGTTTGTGAGGCAGTTACAGAAGGCTGCGAAGCTTTGATGAGATTGTGGTAAATGAGTGAGCGATGAGAGGTGGCTGAGACATGACCTATGGTTCGTGATACATGTGTAAGATGCAGTAGATCAAATTGACAGCCGAAGTCGGGATTGACAATCTAAGTAGCTTCACTGTCTCCAGACCCTGCGGACTTGCGTGTATCCGGAATCTAGGGTGGAGTGATCTATGTGTCGTATTAGTCAAGACGAAAGATCACCAAGTCTATGATACTGGTCGGCTAGTCCTACGAAGAGCAATTCATCCTAAACCCCAATTATTCCAACAGTGATCTGGAACCTCACTTTTCACAAACATAGCTCGATCATCGTGATGAAGGTAAGGAAAGAGTAACACGCTCTTGTTGAACATGTCAGTGAGTCCATGTATGACAAGTGTCGTCCAGCACATCTTCTAACAAATTAAGCACCGTGACACCCTAGTTCCGATCTTTAGGGGTGGATTCCCCGGATCGATCGCTAGTTTCCCTGGGCGCAGTGGGCGCAAGTCACCAACAAAGAGGCGCTCTGCGGGCGATGACCTCATTAAACTCAATGTCACAGCGTCATAGACGCCAAAGCTACACATTCCTCGTCCCATATTTGACCCGCACGCGTCCGCATGCCAACAGGGGGTGTCTGGCCTGATGTGATGGATAATGAATCTATCCCTTGACATTGATGGCATCTCAGGATCCCAATCGTGATCTTGAGCAAAACGGCTCCAAAACCATGTCGCAAAACGGAAATACAGGCAAGGATGGGCGGAAGAGGGTTCTCGTTGTCGGCGCCGGTGCTGCTGGGTAAGTTGAATATGATACCGGACGAGTCGATCTCGGGCGGAAACTTACGCGAAGTAGAATGTCGACGGCGTACCATCTCTCGAACCACCCTGACAAGTTCGATGTGACCCTCATCGATTCGGTCGATTACTGCGGAGGGCAGGCCTTTTCAATGCCCATCAACATGGAGCGACACGGTGCAAGCTGGTTCAACCAGGGCGTGCAGGGCGGTAGCTACATTTTCCACCACACATTGACCATGTTTGCCCGCCAAGGCTACCACGCGGATCCCGTCAAGCTTCAAGTTTCGTTTGGCAAAGACGACAAGTTCTGGACCAACGTCTTTCCTACTGAGTTCATCGAGAAGCACCAGGCCGAAGTTCGCAGACTGGCTTTCATGCTTAAGATCATGCGATGGTTCGAGGTCTTCTTCGCTTTGCTGCCATTGAAGATTGTGTTCAAGCTATTCCGATTCTCTGACGAGTTTACAAATGTCGTGGGATTGCCCATGACAGCTCTCTTCCTTGGTACTGGCAATGCGACGCCAGAGGTGCCAGCTATTATGCTGGAACGACTCTGCACCTCACCAACGTATGGAATGTGGTATCCTGCCGATCCGAATAGCGTCGCCTCGAATCAACCCCCTATGGTCGTCTTCCCCAACTTTACCGATTTCTACACTACCTGGAAGAAGGACCTCGAGTCTCGCGGTGTAACTGTCCGCCTGTCGACCGAGCTCACCGAGGTCGTCCACCGCAACAAACGTGGCGTCCTCGTCAAGACCAAGCCCCGCACTGCTGTGGAAGACGGTCACAACCCAGTTGGCGGCGACCCCGATGCGATCGAGTCGGAGGAGCACTACGACGAGATCGTCATGTGCGTTCTTGCCGATACTGCTAAGGAAATCCTGGGCAAGACCTCGTCGTGGCGTGAGCGCAAGGTGCTCGGCTCGGCTACCTTCTCCGACGATATAACCATTACTCACAACGACGCCGACTACATGAAGAAGTACTATGAGAACTTTTACGATGAGAAGAAGGCTGTCAAGACACTCGGCAAGAAGGGCGAGGTGGACGAGTCATCTCGTCTCGCGTGGGCCAAGGACAACTTCAGGCCCATGTACTACATCCGCATGTACGACGACGACCTCTCTAAGTTAGAGATGTGCTTCGACACAACCAACTACCAGTCCCAGTTCCCCGACAAGGTGCCCTTCGAGCAGCACGTCTTCCAGACTATCTACCTAAACAAGGACCGCGACCGCAAGCACTGGACTGACAGCGAGATTGACAAGAGCAAGATCATCCGTGCCGACTGGTGGCATCAGCTGTGCCACACATGGAAGCACTACACCTTTGTCGTGCCGTGGATGATGTTCCTCCAAGCCAAGAAGCGAGTCCGTTTCGCGGGCTCGTGGACGCTGGTTAACGCGCACGAGGTTGCCATCATGTCTGGTATCGCCGCTGCTGTCGATATGGGCGCAGATTACCCCGAGGACCTTGAGCACGACAAGTTTGCGCTCTTGTGCTTTAGACTGTACTACTTGCTGGCGTACGGAAAGTGGTACCGTCGCAAGTTCAAGGATAGCAAGAGCCAGAAGGCCAAGGATGGTGCGAGCTGGGCTTCTGGGCTGTATGGAAGCGTCTACAAAGGCCCTGGTGTCGCTGAGCAGGAGAGGTCGGTTTGGAGAGAGGAGGTCAAGGCTGGGCGGAGCACGGAGAACCTGGCGGATGGGAATAATGGGAGGAGCCAGCCTTAGAGCTATATAAAGGGTATGTGGACAAATATTCTCGTGTAAAAGACTGCGAGGCAATTTGCCAATTAAAGCTAGTTATTTTCATAATGGTGCAAGTTTCGCGCAAGAAGAATGCTGGCCCCAGTCGTGGTAACATCTGCCATTGATCTGGCGTGCTCCCCCCCGAGGCTTGGAAGATGCCATCCGATCATGCCTGAGCACGTGATAAAGAGTGAGAGGTCCACTGTCCGAGGAAAATCTCAGGTAGACGACGACTGAACCTGTGAAAGTCGAGGGTTGCGCGCGCCGATCGCCGGACGACCGCAGAGAGCTGGGCCTCGTGTCCTGCTACTTGGATTGCCACAACCCGGGGGGAATCAAGGCAAGATGGCCGAGCGGTCTAAGGCGCTAGCTTCAGGTGCTAGTCAAGTAATTGGCGTGGGTTCGAATCCCACTCTTGTCATTTTTCTTTTGCTTTTTGCACCTAGACATGTCTTGCCCCTGGATTTTGATCTAGACGTGACAAAACGTAGAAGTTCATTATATTTGCCAATCCAGACATGCCGAACATTGGTCATAGGCTTCGGGCGGGCAGCAACGACTTTGTGCCCCACTTATGCCGAGAAGTCCGGGCCCCCGCTCCGATTTCAGTACTGTAGTGTGTCAATGCTAGAGCGTCCCCATCTCACTCCCTATTTCCGGCCATGAAGGAATGAATCGCAATATTGCTTGTGTGGTCAATTTGAGGAGTAAAGGTTTACAGTGTAGTCCTCATCTGGCCTTCATTTGAATCTTGATCTTCTGCGCCATCTGCTCGCTATTCCAAGTCTCCTGCTGTTTCTTCGCCTTTGCAACCAGCGCTCTCTGTTTTGGAAGCGGTAAATGCACCAGCGCCTGCCGATCGGCCGGACGCAGCGTGTCCAATTGCCTCTCGAATATCCTGTTCTGCTTGTCTGCTGCTGCTGTCAAAACCTTTTTGCCATTGCCACTTGCTGTCAAGGCTGTCGATGTGTCTCCGCTTGGCGAAGCTCCCCCATTCAGAAGTATGTCGCTGTCCCTCTCGTCATTCTGAGGAGTCCGGTGATATCTGGGTTTCTTGGCGTTGCGATGCGACACGATCTTTCCAGATGCCAATTCTCTGGTGTTCCGGTCCGAGTCGACGAAACGCTGGTGTCCAGGGTTGTCCTCACTGTCTGTGCCATGACTAGAGTCGAGATCGTAGAAGTCTCGAAACTCCGAGCCTGGCCTATCGATGTTGATCCGGCAGTGTGCCTTCCCCACCATGTGTTGCCGGACGGCCTGGGCCGTGTTCCGGACAGAGCCGCAGTAGAGACATTCCTTGTACTCGGTCATCACGAGATGAAAGTACTTGACCAACGTCTGGAGGTCCACTATTAATCTTTCAGAACTCGGTATTGAGAGTCCGTGGCGCTTCTGCATGTGTGTCATGCTTTCTGAGAATCCTGAGCTGAGCTCATTGCAAAAGAGACATTGGCTGGGGTTGGGGATCTCTTGGGGCACAGTGTCTTCGTCGGATGATTCGGTGTCGTGCTCCTCTTTGCCCGAGTCCGAAAGCGACGCTTCTTGGAGTCTTCCGTTGAGAGATTCGATCTGATTGTCGAGCTTGGCGACAGAGATCGACTGGGGTATCGATGGCTCTGTCATGTTGGGACAACGGAGACTGCTTGATCTGTCTAGGGAGTGTATCTTAGGGCCTACTGAATGTTCTATACTTGAGAGTAAGTATGAAGATGCTAAGAGGACTTCGGCGTGTACAAGTTCAGATACATTGGGACTATATAGTCGTTCTCCAGGGTCTTGTAGACTGCGGCTAAACTACTTGAGCCCAAGGCCTAGACCCAAGTCCGTTGGATAGGTGGACCAACGAATGGGCCCATGCTGTCGCTGAAGTGTTTCTTGACCTTCCTATTTGTGCAAGTCGCCGTATGACTGCATAAACAATGCTGAAATAGGCAGTGGAGTGGCGGGGATCTGGACGAGAACCAACCAACAGATCTTTCACCGTGTTCGTTGTTTGGTTGTGGGAGATTACCAACACAACAGACTCGCCGAGTCGGTCGAAAGTAGCACTTTTGGAGGGGAACCTTGAACTTCGACTTGACCGTGGGAACTTGGAGACTGGCTCAAAACCTAATTCATGTAGACCTTGAAGGGATGTTTACATCATGAGAAGGATATTGCTACGCCATTGAAGCGAAATCCCAGGCCCCCTTTCCGTGTCTCGATTTGCCGCTGGAAATTTCGAAGCCAGTGCCAACCATCCTGAATACACTTGTTTGCACACTTCTCGTGTGGCCTTCTGCTTACGCAATAGAGACACAGCAGTGAAGTTGAAGAGGTGAGATGATGAGATGTAAAAGTCAGTCGGAAGGAGGTATCTTGTCCCAAAAGCGTGATGTATCAGGAAGTCCGAATTCCTGCCGCCGAAAAGCTGCTGTGTCTCTCGTATTGACGGCAGGCAGGGACTACGACAATGCAAGTAGGTGTTTTAATAAGAAGGTACAACGCGTAAAGATTGAGGTCAAAGGCAAGAATGACAATTTAACTCACCTTTCATTGCTTTCAAATGGAAAGATGAGGTACCGACCGTGTGTTAACACTAGTTCAACCCTTGACCTTCTCCAGGTTTTCCACCATTCAACAATACAAAACCAATAACGAAACACAAGCAAATACACGAACCCTGGTTTGCACAGTACCCGTTTAATCCACACAAAGATTGCTATGAACGATAAAAACTTCGCCCGACATGCCAGACACACCCATCAAGAGAATCACCAAGCCCTCGAGCGCCAACAATGACGAAGTCGAGCTTTCTACTGAACCACGGGAGCATGGTTCTACGAAAGGCCATGAGGCTCCTAAGCCGAGTAGCTACCCCGTCTCCACTGGCGACCATCACCAGGACGCCGATGGAGGCATTCCCAGCCCCAATACCGCCGACCCCGATCTTCATCAGCCGACGCGTTCCTCTGCAGCTTCCACACAATGCCCTCAAGACGGTCAACCCGGGTTAGAGAAGAATACCCATCCAGAGATCAGGGAGGATGATGATGAGATGACAATGTCCGACGAGGAATGGAGAAGGACCGCGTTCAGGCGTATGGTTATACATAGCATTCATGAGAGTGTCCGACGGCGCCGAGAATTCCTCGAGAGAGAGCGAGACAGAGAGCGAAACGTTGGTCCTGATACACCTCGCGGCCAGCCACATTCCCCCAAAGAAGAGGAGGTCAGTCTTTTGACGACACCATTGCACCCGAGGAGAAGGAGTACCTAGACTATACATATGCCGGATAGCTCTTTGAGTTTTGAAGTATCAATGACTGCAAATTCTGTGTAGACCAGTATATGTAGCGGATGGGGACAGAGAGGGATGCCAAGAGAGCACAGAGAGCGCTCGCTTGAGAGTCCTTCAGAGAAGTATAGCTAGTCCTGAAGTTCGAACACTGTAGAGTAGTGGTAAATTCATGGTCCGTTCCAAGTTATCAACGCGATTGAGAGTCAGGCTAGTTGACGTATCAACATTCACTGTTCACATCATGGCACTGGTTCAGTAGGTAGTCACGAAGGCCACAATTAGGTTACACCATCATCCTAACAACGGTTCTCAGCGTATGTTTCTGCATGTTCTCCACATTAAACCATTCTAGGGTACCTAGAACTACAAGAGGTCAAAAGTGATTATCTAGAGGGCTTAATGACGGGAAGGCTAGCACATGGCCAGGATGGGTTGGTCTCTGGCTTGCCAAACTCCACATTGCCAACAATGGTGTAAATGTTGTTGCAGAGCGGCATCTTGACAAAGCCAGGCACGCGAATGCCATTTCCAAACCACAAGCTAGATCCCTCGCTGGGCTGGATGTTGGTGTAATTCATGTTGAAGTTGTTGTTCATCCGGCCTCCCTCGACCCAACCTCCATATACTGCGGCGACGATGTCCTCCTTTGTGACACCACCCCATTGCTTGCCATCCATCGTGTCCGTGCCAAAGAGGGCGGAGAAGGGGTTGTTTTCACTAGGTCTGATGGAGGGGTGACCGATGCTTAAGTCTACGCCCTCGTTCCTGATATCGAGCAGGTAGAACAGGGCACCATTGTAGCAGGCCGCAGCTCTCTCATGCGAGTCGGCAGGCAAGAATGGCCAGAGAGAATCGTCTCTCTCAGTCTTGCCCATCTTGCAGGGGAGACCCGTTTGGCTGGTGCTGCGCGTTAGTCGAAGCTCGCTGGGAGACACCACAGGGGGGGGAGGGGGGCAACATACAGGACGAAAGGTCTACGAGCCGAAGGAACAGTCTCCCAGGCAGCCAGCATGAGATTGGGGTAGAAGAGCTTCTTGATCACCTTGGACATCTCCCTGAAGTCAATGTCGTCGGGGGTGGCAGACATCAAGCCGTTGTCAATCGCGGCTGTCAAGAACTTTACTGTTGCGTCATCTCTGGGCGTGAAGATCCTCTTGAGGTACTCGACCTCGGCAGCCTTCCAGCTGTCAAAAACATCACCCATCATGGCTGACAATGTTCCATAGGCGGGCTTGGGCGAAGCACCTCTGTTTCCTAGTGTCAGTGCTCCAAATTTCCATGAGCAATGGAGGTAGAGACTTACGGGAGGAGGAAATCCTTTCCAATGGCCCAACTGGTGAAGATGGTGTAACTGCTAGTTGTGGTGATTTGAGATCGCATTGTCTGGGTGAGGAAAGTCTGGAACAGCGTCGAGTACACAACTTTTCACGTCATTAGCTCCAGGATTCACTTATTACCTACTCAAGAAGCACTCACAAATGTTGTTGGTGTAAGCCTGGGCAATACCGACGACTCCGTAGATGACGTTGAGCATGATTCTCTGCATTCTCGCCGATGAATCGCTCTCTGCAAGAGGGACGGAGAACTTCTCAGCAAAGAGACCCATCTCGGACTGAATGTCCATCTGCGCCTGGTCAAGAGCCTCAAAGTATCGGCGGTGGAACTAGGCCAACAATTAGTCGCCAATCGTAGACGTTTTCATCGAGCACGAGATGAACTTACTTGATGCATCTTGGAGAAGGAGTTGAGAATCAAGTGCCCAGCAGGGTACTTGGTGTCCTCACAAGTCAACGCCGTCGAGCAAGGCACGTCAAGCAGCTGCGTGCATCGCCACATCTCCGGGCCGCCGAGGTACCAGGACGCAAACTGGCTGAACTCGAACTTGACCTCGTTCGGACCGGAGTCGTACTCCTTCCAAGCCTTAAGCACCTCGTTGAGGGCCTCGGTAGCACCGGCTGCCGCCCATCGCTTATCGGGCAGGGCCTTTGCATCGACGACGGTGCCTTGACACTTTACGGTCTTCCAGTCCACGACACCGGCGGCTAAAGCCGTGGCGGAGGATAGCCAGACGGCTACGATTGAGAAACGCATTGTGGGAAAGACTTCGTATCGAGGGTCGAGGAATGTGACCGGTTCTGGAACAGCTCTACCTGCGACTATCAACTTGATCGGAAACTATTGGTGACTGAAAGAGTCTTATACGTTCCTCATCAGCCGTGTTCATGATGGGCAGCATATGGGTGCATGATTCTAGGGCGACAACAAACAGTCTTGACTAATACACTCACACCAGGCCGCCTACTTTTCTTTTCGTCGCGAAAACCTAGACTTGACAGAATTGTGGAAATGCGGTCTGCGGTAATTGACAAGACTTCACGATCGCCTCTCCTACGGACGTTTCCGAAACTTTGATCCAAAATCTGATTAGATGCGATTCATTACTTTTATCTTAGTTAATCTCGGTGTCTGATCGGCAATAGGGCGTAGTGCCGAGTGCGGAAGTTATGACTAGGATGAGAGTGCTTAGAAAAGTTTATATGGACTGTAGGACGGGCATTGACCAAAAAACTTGCTCTTCTAGCTTGCTTAAGTCTTGACCTCGACGTGATGACTCGTCGCCTCCCAGAGGTAACGACATTCAGTATTGGCAGTTGTCCCTGAAGCAATGATTGATGTTTTACTCGAGCTATCTCTGTCGAGGTTCTGCACGTGAAAGTCAACGTTCCTCTTTCTCTCACCCTTTTGGCACTTTGAGATCTTGTCTGTAGCTGATAAAACACCCCCGGCCCGAGGAACATCGTCATATTTCTCCTTGCTAGGCCAATTCTCTACCTACCTTACCGATGGCAGTCGGCGAATTGCTGAGACCATCCAGGTGCTCGCGCTCATGTTGTGTCATAACGACAAATCATTTTGTTACTAACTTGATCATACAGCCGGGCAGAAAATGGTGGTTCATTCGCGCTTTTGCTTACCGCATGTTTTGTTAACCTTCTCAGTTCTCGCTGGGTTGATCGCGGTTTTGAGAGCTGATCACCGATGGGGCCAAGCGTTGTTACGCTTCTTTCAGGTCTGTGCTTCTGACAGAGATCAACAAGAATTGTTGCCAAGACAAAGTCGAAAAATTCGGAAAAGCTTGTTATGAGCATTTTGCCCTGTCATCGGCCCAGGCATGAACTGTCTTGTTGTGGGCTGATCCAAGTTAACAGTGTTGTCGGTTTTATGCCCAGTATCTCTCTACCCTGAGGGTCAAAAAACTTTGACTTACCGGGATGGAATACCCCGTTGCAGAGATGCCGAATATCTCTCGGAAATGAGCGCTGCTATGCGACAACGAGGCGGACCATAGACTGGAAAGAAGAGGTAGAGGGAAGAGGTAAAGTAAACTCTCGGAGACGGAGCCGAATCGATGGGCATCAACAAACCAAGACTACAAAAAATGTTTCTACATATAATAGACCTGTGCTGAGACGCGGCTTCTGGAAGCCCGGAACTAGTTGTTTAGTCCGCACATTCCAACTCAACGAGCGCCTGGCCGAACTTCTACATCGGAAAACTTGTAGCTTCCAGAACAACATCGACATGTTGCTCTTCACGAAAGCGTAAGTTTCCTTTAACAATTAGACACAGAAAAAGCATTGAAGAGGAAACGTTGCTGAAGTTACAATAGCAACCTTTTGGCTTGTTTGGCTCTGGTCCATTTATGCTCTGCCACCGCGATTGATGTCACCGGTCTCAGCCCTCGCGGCGCCTACCGTGATGACTCTGGCAGTTCAGACTGTCTTCAGGTCGGTTGCGACACCTCGGTCTGCGCCAAAGATCCCGTCGATGCCCTCGCTGTTGCGTCGAAGGGAGTGAGCCTCATTTTGGGCCCCGACTGTGCTGGATGGGCTGAAGGCAGTCCTTCCGTGGTGCAGGGGGATAAGTCCTGCCCTGCGGGAACGCAACTCTACCGTGGAGACTTGAGGGTCTGGCGTGCGTGGAACAACGTTGGCAAGAAGTTTACAACCACTTTCGTTGCGTGGGAGCAGTTCAAGGGTGCTACTTGCTGGGGCAGGAAGGATGTCACTTGCGTCAAGGGGCCAAAGCAGGTTCCGGATCCGAATACTGGCTTATGCGGACCATGGGCTCTTTAAACAAACCTCGGTTATCACTCGAAAAGAGGATGTGGGAGGCTATCAAACATGTAACGAAAATTGAGTGATTGGGTAGATATCTAACCTCAAAAGCCTATGATAAAACGCCTATTTGAGTCTTTCCTTTTCTAGGTAGTTCTATACTCCAGTCGTATCGCCAACTGACGTCTCCTAAGTCATATTAACTTGAAGACCTCTTTAGTGTACACACCGTTCAAGATCAAATGAGAAATGAAGGGCTGTTACGAGAGGAATCCTAAGTTTATTTCATGAATACGGCCTGCTGAAATAAACTGAGCGCACTGAATACAAAGAGCTATCTAGAACCACAGCCTGATGGTCGTCTTAATTTCAAAGATTCCCGTAAGGTGAGGGGGCATGAGACTAAATACATTATCCGCGACCGAGTCGGGTATCAACCCGGACCGCACCATAGTGCTTCAAGAATCGTCCCCAAATAGGAGGAGAGTACCATTGTCTGCCAGCCCTGGCTATGGGCCACAGGACACGGCTAACACCATCCTCCCAACCAATGGGCCGCTCGCCGCCGTAGGCCTGCTCATATTCTGGAGCGGCACTCATATAGCCTGGATCAACAGTGTTCATGGCCACGCCTAGCTTCCAAGCCGTGGGCGCCTCCGTCTCGGTAATCATATTCAGCCCAGCCTTTGACATATTGGTATGGACATGCTTGCTATTCTTGGCGGAGCTGCGCTGAGTTGACTCGAAGATACCTTCTCTAGATGAGACGTTGATGATGTGGCCTCCTTTTCGCATCGAAGGCAACAGCTCCCGGATCAATATGAGGGGCACAAAGGTGTTGACGCTGTGTGCGGTGATGACATCTTCGTAAGGAATGTCTGAGAGCGACTGCACCCAAGATGATGGGGCTGGTTTCTCCGTGCCAGAAATTTGCAGCTCAGACATTGATCCAGAAAGAGATGTGCTCTCAGGGGCAGATGGCCCAGCAATGCGACCAGGAATCTTCCCTGCCACACCATGAGGAAGGCTACCATCGCCACCCCGTACGCGAGCTGAATAGTCATGGCGTACAACCACGCCTTTACCATCGTCAGACGGATTGTCAAGCAGGAAACGCTCGTGTTCAATGGCGCGTTCCTCTTTCTCCATTGGATCTGTAAGGGTTTGGGCGGCATTGTTGATCAGATAATTCAGAGTCCAGCCTTCTTCCTGGAGAACTATCTTAATACTCTGGACCAGGGAGAAAGCATCAGCTGCTGCTCGGAAGTCCGCACCAATGATTCTCAATCTCGGTGACCAGTCATCGAGATCAGCCTCCTGGCGGTACCGCGAGAGCGCATCTTCGGGGTAACGCGATGATACGATTACTGCCGCGCCGCAACGCAGCAGCCGCAGAGCCGTGTGAAAGCCGAGATTCACGCGCCCACCAGTAACAACAGCAGTCTTGCCCTTGAGTGAAATATTCTCCGGTAGCGACAAAGACCTTTCCGCGACGTTGAACTCTCCACAAGGTATGCACATCGATCCCAGCTGCGGATGGGGGTTGTCGAGAGCCATGCGGCAGACGTAGCAAGTTCGTTTGCGACTGCCGCTTGGCATATGTCGGTGAATCCGGTCATGCGGACTGTCATCGGCAGCTATTGCAGGCATTTCCGAGACTTTCGTCTTGATGGTCTCAATCATTTGCTCGAATAGCAGCTGGCGCATACCCCGATCAAGGATAGGCCAAATTTTTAATGCGGCTCTTTGAGATTGTTCCGAAGAAGAGGGAGGCATGTAAAGAGCGAGAAGGCTGGGAAGCTCTGTCGTATCTTTTCCAGCCTTTTTCGACAGGTCAAAATCGTACCGTAATTGGTTTGCGACATGTTCAATTCGTGAGTTCGCAATGAAGTCTCGAAAGTCGGACCGCGCCAGGAGAACACTCGGAGGATCCTTGACGATTTCAGGACGACTGTCAATATTCTCCTCGGGGGACTGATGCGCTGTTCTCTCCTTGATACTGGAGGCTAGGTCGGGGAATCGGCTTTCCATTTGTTCAACGACACGCATAAAGGACTCTAGCCACTCCAACTCTGCCGGAGTACTGGGCATGGCATTTTTCAGCTCCTGGAGCTTCTGTCCCTTGGTTGAGGTCAAGCGCGGGAGGGTATCTTCGAGTATACGAATGCTTTGAATGCCGTCTCTCGTCTTTTGCAGGTCCAAAGAGTACACCAGCTCCTGATTAACAGCATCAAAAAGTTGGAGACACCAATCATATGGTACTAGTATCGGGTGTGCGTACCGGAACGACCATAGTGTACGTCCCGATCTTCGAGCGTACAGACGTAGTTGCCGAGGAACATGGGCGACGTTCTGTCGTGGGGTCTGAGGTGCCAAGGGGGTCTTCAGGTATGCTGGGAATTGCTCATAAAGATCGGCCAGACGGTGAAGCTCTGATGCCTTTTCGTCATTAAGAAGTTTTTGTGCCTTGGCAAGACGTGGAATGACTTCGATGCAATCATCAGGTTTCCAACCTTTGGCGCGAAGCCCCGCAACGGTCCTCGGCTGCTGGGGGGTTGTTGAATATTCGGGATTGGGCAGATACTGTATGATGGCATAGAGCTTGGTGCCACGATCCCGAAACTTTTCCTTGTGGAGTATCATCCTGGCAAAGGCGCGGACGAGGTCATCCTCAAGGGTTAAGGACAACTGCGGCAAGTCCGGAATAACAGAAGATGAAGCCTTGGCGTGCTGAGGTCTGAATTCGGAGTCCGGCTTCGTCGCCATAACAAGCTGCCCCTCTGACAACAAGGAGAGCCTGTTTAAAGCTACCCAAGCTTTCGCCAATCGGCCTAAGTTTTGACTGCGTAGCACCGACCATGCTTTGCTGTTGCTGAGAGCTGACTTGAGGGCTGTGCCGTGAGGTGAACTGTCGCCATACTGAGTTCCTAAGAGGTCGAGGATACGGTGATATGGGAGATCGGCGAGGACAGGCTCAATGAGCTCGGCCGGGGTTACCGAGAGCTGTCGTGCAATTCGAACAATTCTTTGAGGGAGGAGGTCGTCCATGTTTCACGCCAAAACTCCAGTCATCAACTGGCGGAGGAGAATATAGAACCGGGCTAACAGAGTACAGGCTGAGTCAATGAGTTAAAGTCAAGGAAGAACGGCTCGTTAGCTTGGCCAAGCTTTGAACAATGTTGATTGACTGCCTAAAGAACCTAAACCTCAATACTCTGTACAGTTGATAAATACTTTGGAGAATTCCCAGCAGTGGAGATCTGGCAGCAGAAGTGACTCGACGATGAGGTGAGAAAGGTAGTAAGCCAAGACTGTCCCCAAATTTCTGTTGGTTGTGGCGACTTTGAGGTAATCCGCATTGGGAAAATGCACAAACCCCTGGGATGACGCTGCTGACGGCTGCTGCCTAGTGCGGGGAGGACTAGCCTCCGCAATACTATGAAATCAAAAGGCGCAAGTTGGAATAACAGGATGTTACAGATTTCTACTAGGCTCTATACAGGTTGAATGGGCCTAGATCAGTCATCCGAGGTAAAAGTGAATCGTCAACATGTCGAAAATTCAACCGGAAGGGCGTGAATGAGTCAAATTAAGCTTGTTTTTTTGATGGCCTGTCGAATGCAATTGCCCGATCAGATCACGCAGCGACACACTTTCTACTTTTGTCACTCCCTAGGTAAAGTAGTCAGGTACTGCATTCAAGCTTGTTCTTCGATCTACTTTCAAATGTTCTTATAGGGCAAATCAAAACCGCAAGAAGATCCAAAGAACGGCGTCTCTCATGATATGGTCAATCATGCAGAAGACACATGGAGAGATGTGCAAGTTGGAATATGAAGCCCCTGCTGCAGAAGGCTTGCTTATCCCAGGTACCAATTACTGGAGATTCTATTGCCATTCTTTCTTCTTGGACTACCTTAGTACAGTAGAGGCCGAGGTAAGTCAACCAGCCATTTGCAAATCAAGGAACCCAGTATTAGTTACTAGCACAGTAGTATGTAATACAAAAGTATTAATTTGGCTTCCGTCACGATGTCGTCCAACCTTTGGTCAAAATTTCCCACCTTCAGCCCTGTATCCACAGATGGGCACTCCTCTACTTTCAGACCGTCTTGTGCTCGGCTAAAAGATTGACAAACTGATCTATTTTTCGTTTCCTCGTTTCTGGGCGTTTTGTCGTCTCGACCCGCCACAAGAATGCATATCGCTGCGTCTTATTCAAAGCATCAAAGAACTTGTTTGCTTCTTTGTTGCATCGCAATGCCTCCGCAAAATCTGAAGGCACTTCCATTATGCTCGCAGAAGAGTAGGCTCGATTCCATCGACCATCGGCCTTGGCGGCGTTAATCTCAGCCTGTCCAGCTGGTCTCATGCGTTCCGCTTGTGTCAAAGCCGCAGTTTTCTCAACGTTTCTCTTTGACCAGAGACTGTTCTTCCGCCGTGGGGTGAATCTCTGAATAAAGTGCTGTTCGTCAAGGGCTTTGCGCTGTCCGTCGATCCAGCCGAAGCAGAGTGCCACATCGAGAGCTTGATCATACGTGACTGTCGGCTTTTCGGCGTTCTTCTTGGCTATCTTCAGCCAGACACCCAGGGAGCTTTGGTAGGAGCTCTCGAGGTAGTTCTCCCATTTAGATTGATTCTCGAAGAAAAGAGTTGGAATGGACTCCGATGATCTTGGCGAAGAAGTCTTATGGGTGGTTGATTGAAGCGAAGTTCTCGCTGCGTCCTTGATCTCGGCTTGGACACTTGCTCTGGTACGTCTCGACATGGTCATCAATGAGAAGTTTGGCCGGGGGATTGCTACGCTCGGCTTTAGACGCCAGCAAGAGGGGCACTATATGGCAGGCTGGTTCAAGAGTCGATTTCATGAGTCAATACAATAATTCAGAGGGCCCATGGTTTGGCAGAAGTTCGATGTTGGTGGAAAGAAGCCTTGATGTTGAGATTAGGCACCCGGGTGCCCCAAAAGCCAGCCTCTTGGGTTCGAGCTAGTCCACTTGGGGATAGCGGCGCAGGTACCCATCTCCGTTATGGATGGAGCTTTGACCATCGTCTTGGTGTTGATCTATATTCCCATATCCCAATCCCCGGTTTGGTATGATCCTAGATTCTGAATGGCGACATCAGAACGGATGACCATGAATGCGGTTAGCACATATCTAGGCCTGAAATCTAAAGAAATGTTGAGATCTACCAGCTACTTAATATTGCATGTGTGTCGTGGTGTTATCCTCGCGCAAATCTTGAAATATGCTTTACACTCTTGAACCCAGTCGATTCCCGTACATTGTGAAATCATCATGGTCAATGCCGGACACTGCACCTTCCGCAGCTGGTTGAGGTGTCGGGAGAGACGGGATGAACATAGTATCCTACTACGGCGCGGCTTCGTTATTGACACTGTCAGTTGCCTCAGGCTTGTCGACATGTCCTAGACCGCCGGCTCATAACTGTCAATAGCTATCTCCGAAATAACAAACTTTCCACACACTGGCCAAACGTCACGGGAAAGGAAGTATGATCACGATGTCAGTGGGATTACAAGACTGCCGGGTCGAGAAGGCGTTCAGACCGGGAAGGTTCTCGCTGCTGACCCTATACATTCCCTTCTTTTTATCATCTTTTCTCCTACTTTCTTTTCAAACAGACATCCCAAAGCTCCAAACACTTAGACCACCCCAACTTACTCTACGCAGTTTGACTGCATCGGTTCAACATCTTACCTTCATCCTCGCCTGATAAACTTCTTCAATCACAAAGATTCCATCCGACTCTCCAATCAGCAAGGATGAATTATACCACAGATTTGTTGTTCGCCTCGGCAGCCAAATATGCCCGCACGGGGCAGTCTCACAGCAACGACAACAATAAAGACAACGACACCTGCGTAAAACAAATCACCGTGTATGGGACAGAGATACCCAGAAACATGACAATTACTAAGAGAGGTTTTATGGGGCTGCCGTTTCTGGCCTACATGGCATCCGACTCGCCGATAGACGTGGCCAACGCAGTCAGCGCTCGCGATGAGCTAGATTCCTGGGCTCATCGAATTCGTCAATACAAACCAGCCAAGAGCATGTTCGACTTGATTCGCAGCTGTTCTTCTTGGATTCATCTAAGTCAACTCGACTCTTCTCTGGAGGGCTTGACGCAAGTTAAGCTGGCACATGCTGTGCATGAAACACTTGCAAACGCCAACTTCGAGTGGTGGGCTACATCCTGTCGTTACAAAGTCTACGAGGAAGATTCTGTTGCCGATGATCTCCCATTTTCATGCGCGTGTTGGCCGAGCCCCCCTCTTGGCACTACATATACTACCAAGTTCGAATGGAACTCCGAGACAAAGATCCTCTGTTGGTTCGATTTGAACGTGAAAAAATCTATGCAGACCTCCTTCGACCAATTCATCGACGGCACAGAGATTTTCGAGTCCTTGGAGGGCCGAGAAGCCTTCGATGAATGGATTGAACTCCGCAAGGAGTCCACCTTGAAACTCACTAAGAAGAGTCCCTCGAAACGCCTGGGAACAACCAGTTCCCGCCCTACTAGAGTCCAGAAGCCCATCGAGGGCGCGGTCCGGCATAAACCATCTGGAAGAAAGACAAGGAATGGGACCAAGAAGGGAAAGGGAAGGAAGAACGAAGGGGAGCCAGATGGTCAAGTGCAGATCTCAGTGGCGATGTTGGCATAGGGGAAGGGTCATGTAATTCTGAAAACATGATTTTCAAGGGTCTTTGTGGGGCTCTGGAGCGTAAAGGCAAGGTATGGTACCTGCTCAGAGAGCTCCTTACTACAACTTAAGGTACACCATTGCTACATCAATAGAGCATATCGTGTCCCACCTCTTGCTTTGCCACCTTCAGTTTCTTGATGTGTTGATTAGGTGTCAACAATCCACTTTCAAGGTGAAGGTTTCCTGCCACAAGTAATGATAACCGAATCCGCGAAGACAGGTGCAGACGAATTCACTCCACGAAATACTGTCTGTCCTAGTCTAGCAACGCTTGCGTATACTTCTCTTTGGGATGTCGTCGCTGAGTGTTCCCAAAAAATCGCAAAGAAATGCACCAGAAGACATCAAAATCTTTTCTGACTGCCTCAATATTATCTCACATCTTACTAAGGGCGCTAAATGTTGTTTCCAACGATCCCTTTCATTCCTCCGTCGGTTTAAGACGGCTAGATGCAATCTTGTGCGATGTCTGCTTCGTCTTCAATAAGATCCCCTGGTGCTATACGTATAAGTGGCGTGAATGTAATAGCACGTCAACGTAAACTTTCGGCAGCGGGATTAACAAGAGGCTGCAAAGTTTGGCCACAACAAACCGGGGGACCCTTGGCTCGTCACGTAATATTCATCCCTAGATATGTCACATCTTCACTTTGGCTGATGTACCGATGTCTTTAGGGTAATATGGGATCAGGGATGATCTGGCTAAAAGCAATGCGGGGAGGAGCTCAAACAGCCCAACTTCGGACGGCTTCATTCCGAGGTTTGAAAAGAAGAACGATTAGATATCGGCGATGAAGCCCGACTGTCTTAAGCCTTATGGAATGATGAAAGCTCTGGTCAGTCCCCCCGAGACGCCTTTGTCATTGCGGGCCTTCATGATGCTGCTCAAGTGGCTGTTTCTTTGGGCAACGCTCACTCTCGCCGTCCCAACCGGCGACAATCTCTACAAACGACAAGACGAAAATCATTGGGCTGTGACATGGACGTCTATGCCCCAAGAGGTGGAACAAAGTAATCTTCCACCATCGCCTTTCGTATGCCACTTCCTCCCTTAGCATTATGCCTGTGCTAACCCGACTCCGCAAGAATGGAGGAAGTGTCCAATACCGCAACGCAACGCTCCGCCAGACTTTCCACGTCTCCATCGGTGCATCACGCATCCGTTTCCAGCTTACAAACATCTTTGGAGGTTCAGATCTGCCCATCACGGCAGCCTCCATCGCCCTTCCACTCGGCGGAGCAGCAGGCGTCTCTGGGGTCGATACGGCTACTACCAGGGGACTAACTTTCTCCGGGTCTCCGTCCGTCACTATCAAGCAAGGCGCCTTTGTCTACAGTGACCCGATAGACTTCAAAGTGCTACCTCAGACAAATGTCGCGCTGAGTCTGTACTCTCAGCAGGGCCAGTCTGGGACCCGGATCACGGGACACCCCGGCAGCCGCACGACTTCATGGATGCAGAGTGGTAATCAAGTGAATGCATCATCTGTCGGAGGCGCTAGCACAAAGCACTGGTACTTTGCTACTGCCGTGGAGGCGTGGGTTCCCAGGAATACGTCAGCAATGATAATCCTCGGGGACAGCATCTCGGACGGACGTGGTAGCGACAATGACAAGAATAACCGGTAACTCAACTCCTCATTCAATGGCACCCTTGATCTCAATTGACATCGCCCAGATGGCCCGATCTCCTCCTCGCACGCCTACAAAAAGAAGGGATCACAAATCTCGCAATCGCAAACGAAGCAGCAGGCGGCAACGCAGTCCTCAGCGGCGGCCTCGGCCCCACACTCCTGTCCCGATACCCTCGCGACGCCCTCACCCAGCAAGGCGTCTCCCGCGTTCTCATCTTCGAAGGCGTAAACGACATTGGCCCCGGCGGCACCGACGCCGCATCCCAGCAGCGCATTGGCGACGGGCTCATCGCCGCGTACAAACAGATCGTGGCCGACTGCAAGAAGGCCGGGCTTGCTACCATCGGGGCGACGATCACGCCGTTTGCGGGGAGCGGGCAGGCGTATTCAAACCCGGAGAGGGAGCGGACGCGGGTGAGGGTGAACAAGTGGATTCTGAAGAGCGGGACGTTTGATCACGTTGTTGATTTTGCGGGGTTTGTTGGTGATGGGGAGAAGTTGAAGGCGCAGTTTGATGGTGGTGATCATTTGCATCCGAATGTGGCTGGGTATCAGGAGATTGCGGCCAGATTCCCTTTGGATGTTTTCAAGCCTTAAGAGGGAACGCGCGAAACGACACAGCGCGTGCCGCCGTATGATCAGTATTCAATCAATGGCTTCATTGCGGCAACTCGCCTAGTACGACGATTAGATTTGAACCTGACCCTCGGTCGTCGACATCTCGTTATCATCGTGATCTTAAAATGCGGCTGCGACTTAGTTGGTAGGCAGAATTGTTCCATTTCAATCCCTAAAGACACCTCACAGGCACGGAGTGTGTCTGGAAGCCTGCTTTGAGTCGCTTAACCGGCTCCGCCGTTAAGCTGAATGAGTTAGTCTGGCGGGTTTGCCGATCCACTGGGCAGAATCGTGCTTGGCGGCTGAGGGAGGCCTTCGCCTCAGTTCACGCCCGGGTGCCTGGGGAAAGTGTTAAGTTGAGACTCATAAACTCTCATAGCTCATATTTTTTTTCACGAGACTCCAGATTGTGTCCAGACCACAACCCACTCAACTTAAAAGTACGCCGCACCAAACTTCATGAAGATGGGAAACGAGGGCGATCCGGGGGTACAGGTCGGATACGCCAGCGCTCCCCATTCACAATGGAGGGCCACTGGAACCAATGGATCCAGGTTTCCACCACCGCTACCAACAGCGCAATCTTGGACAGGTCATAATCACAACAAAGAGAAGACTTGGAACTCGGCAGGCACGTTCAGCTTGTTCAAGACCCTTGGGAATAGCAAGAATAGTGCATCGACTAGTTCTCGTCCGCCTGTAAGGTCTCGCGTGTGGCCGGTGTCGTCGCCGGGGTGGTTCAAGCCAGAAAATGGTGGGACGGTGATATTTGCGGGCCATGTAGTCCTCATCATCTTCGAGGCCATCGCCGTTGTTATCTCCTCGCAGAGCCTCGAACGGGTCAAGAAGTTTCCGAGTCTGGTTCTTAGGGCCGAGCTTGCGTGGTGAGTTCTTACACCGTCTCATCGGGTCACTTATTTAGCAAGATAGTACAGGACTGACGAACAGACACAAAGCTTGTTATCGCTGATATCCATGTGCGCCGAGGTTGGCATTTGGATCATGACCACCTTGGCGGCGTGTTCTTACGTCGGGATGGCTCTCTCTGCCGCGTGTGCCGCCCTCCTATGTCTTAATGCCACCGCGACGGGATCATATCTCATTTTTGCGATGAGGGCCAACTCAGACAAGGCTCTCTGCGATGAGTACGGTAAGAACTCCGCGGAGTGCTGGGCTGGACTGAGGATGGGCATGGCGGTGGGCGTGCTCCGGGTATTGCTGCTGTGAGTTCGGTACATGGGCCAGAATGGCAACGGTGTGTTTGCTAACGATGTGGCAGACCAGTTGGCGTTGTGATTGTGACTGGATACTTCATGCGCAGGAGATCGAAGAAAAATAAGAGATGAGCGGTGCCAAGTAGAAGAAAAGCAACACGCAGGCCGAACTCGCGGCGTTCAGGACACAATTCGTCCAGTGCTGGCTTTGTAGATCCATAGCGTGAATGATGTATCACTTAGATCTGCAGTCTGGTCCCGAGAGCAAGGGAGGAGGATGAAGTTGACAACCTTGGTGAGATGCGATGAAGGAGACAAACGGTTCGCCAGGGCCGCCTGGGCGGGAACATCTGTCAACCCACAAGTTGACGGCGGGGATCGACCCAACAGAATGGTAAGGAGGAGCGGGCGCGACGGGGCGTCCGGGCTGCCCCTGAACAACTGACGAATCTCTAGCCGTTCCCAGCGGATTGCCAACCTCTCCCTGCATGGGAACAAATGCCGAGTCAAGTCAAAGTTGAATGGGAAAGATAAACACAACCATAGAAAGTGAGATGATATGAGGTTGTAAGAGTCGAGGGTTGGGGCTCGACAGGATGTTCAAATCCCGAAGTCTTATACCCGGATGAGAATCCCGTTGATGTGTATGCAAGTCTGCAACACAGAGATTAAGCCTTCAATAATTCAGTAATGCGCTCAGCTCTGTGCTTTTGTGATAGATGCATGTCTTTCCCAGATGGGCAAATGATAGTCTCCAATGCAACGTTCGAGTCCGCTTTCGCTCATCGCCGCGAAGAGCCGACCTTGCAGCAAAGAGCAAGCTTTGCTTTTTTTCATTCATGTCGTGAGCTCCCCATCCACGAGTAGAGACTCGCAGACAGAGATATGCAGAGACATGCAGAGGATGGATGGGCAGAGCAAACCCCGCTGGCAAGTCAGGGGAAGAGGGTTACAGCGGCGTCTATCCATACCACCGGCGCAATTTCCAACCAAACGGCACCCTCTCAGACGAGGCAGCTGCTCCTCGAAATGAAGTCGGGGGTGAGATGCCATGACAAAAAAGAAAGGATGGCAACCAGGGCCCCGGACAAGCCCTACTCGTGTCCCCCAGCCGGGCTTCCGCGGTGGGAGCCACGGGGAAGGGTGGCTGTTTATTGCCGCCCAGGATCTCCCAGGAATTGGTGTGCCATTCTGTCGGGAACCCTGCGCGACCCCACCGTAGCCTGCGAGTGGCCGTATCACCATCCTGCTGCCGGTCCCTTTTGTCTTGGCCAGGGAATGTAGGAGCGTTCGTCTGCAGAAGAGGCTTCGGCCTGGGACGATGAAGGTGGCCATTTAAAAGTGTGACCATTCCCTGTCTCGCCAATGTGCAGACTTTCACGCGGGCCGGAACCCAACGCTCTGGATTCGGGATTTCTCAAAGCGTGATAGTGGTTGCCTTGCTGCGCCGCCAGCCTGGGACTCGCTCGTCCTGTGTTGGCGTGCGCGAGTCCGAAAGAGAGAAGAGCAGACTGTACTATACTTTTCATCCAACGGCAAGACGGACCTGTTCTATGCAATCTTTGCTTTTCTCGTACTTCTCACTGCCTTACTCATAGCTGGCTGCTAGTACCATTGGTCGTTCCCGTATCGGATTCTCGCGGCGAAGAGAGAAAGAAGCCATACGCCACGGTAGGATCGCGTATTCGTTCTTCAGGATGACCATAACGAGCCCTGTCTTCTTGCCCGGCTTAGACGACATCGAGTATCATGGCATTGGTACGAGCTCGGAGGTCAACGTACCAGGCTTCTGCCGTGATAGATCAAGATCCCCCAATAGATCTAGTATCAGCCTGGAACCAAATATAGAGGAAGGGAATGTGCTCCGGTAATGTTTTCCCTTCCCAGCGCAATGAGAGACGTGTTCTAATCGAAGACAGCTCAGAGATTGAGCTTCCAGAACAAGCGTTCCGTCGGTCATCCGCTCCATCTCCCGAGTCCATCGTGGACGTCAACGGAAGCACCCCGAGGAGCCTCCCCTCGCAACATGACGAGGCAGGTCGAGCAGCGCATTCGAGGCCTGGAACTCCACCAACACCCGAGGCTTCAAGGTCCGATAGCTTAGCGACAAAAACACCACCAACCGTCGGGCCTCTAGAATCTTACTTAGCATGTCCTCAATCGCACGAGAGACGGGCGCTTTGGCTGCCTCCCGACGATGACGAGGATCGAGAGCGAGACACCAAGTCTTCGAGTTGTGGGTCAGTAGTTCTTGGTAAGAGGAGAGTGCCTGGAGTGTATGAACAGGCCGAACGCAGCACATCGCCGTTTGGGACCACCCAAGGCGCCGACGATGCCAAAGCAGAACAGCCATTGACGCATTACCTGTCCTCGGTACACCCCCACGAAGTACTGGCGTATCAGATATGGAAACTTGCTTCGAAAGACAAGGAACGAGATCCAAGATTGGAACTGGGTGTGCCCGGCCCATCGGAGAATGCGGTCCCGGCTTCGAATCACTCCCTATTTCTAGAGGCCAGCCGTAAGGAAGACGATATCCCAGCAGAATCTGCAGTGCTGTCGCCCGCAGTAATCATACCTCAAGGTCCCATCGAGGTGGGATATGAACGTCGCGGTTCGGATTCAGCGATATCAGACTTGGAGACTGAAGAGCTGCATCAGCTTGTGTGAGTCAAATTTGCTCATCATCCCATACACTTGCTGACGCTTAACAGGGCAGAAGGTCGTCGTGCGAGACAAGCAGGGAGGAATAGAACAATGCAGCCAGCAAGGGGCCCAAAAGGCAGAGTCAAGAAGTCAAAAACAATGAGGTCTCGGAGAGAATAGTGAGGTGATTGGCGTGCCTTGCCGTACCCGAAAGCAACCTGCCGAGGTGAAGTGCCCGATCTTCGATGCACCCGGCAATTGGCAGCGAGGACAGCAAATTGGAGCGCTGAAGACCGGCTGAAGAGCGGTGTCTTGCATCCCTGCCCACTAGGTAGTGTCGGCTTTGCCACGATGCATCGAGTTCGCTTCAAGGAGCAAGCGAGGTCGGGATTATTGGTATCTCCTTACATGAGGGACGATGACGGGGAAATGAGGGCAGGCCGGCTAGCGCTACGTCTGGCTTAGACGATGAATTGTGAGATTGATGCCGGATGAGATAAATAGAAGAATCGTCCCAATGATATCGTGAATCTATAAAGTTCGGAACCGACCAAGAGGTCGAAGAAGTGGAGGTGAAGGCCGGCGGATTGAGGAAATCATTGCAATGCCTGGATGTAAGTCGATCCAAGTGGTAGGATCTGGTGACCAAAGTTCGCTCGCACTCTGGGTACTGTCGCGTTTGTGCTGACTGTCCGCTGACTGTCCTCGATGATCATTATCGGCCATTATGATTCTTCGTCAATGTATTCCTATCCGTGTGTCATAGGTATGGCGTGGCCGGGTAAAATATCAGGGATGCGATAGTGGTGATGGTGATGAAGGAGAGAGCTTGCTGGAGGCGGACGGGAGGGAGCGACGGGACCCCACTATATGACTCTTATCTAATCTTATCTCAATATCTTATCTCATCTTATCGTGACATTCTTATCAGCAACACGCCGCCATTGACCCGAGCTTGGGCACGCCAAGCTTCGTACCCACCGTCCCCGATTGCCTGCCGTCGCTGTCGCTGTCGCTGTCGAGAGCTGCGACTCGATTCATTCCCATCGCATCACATCCACCACCACCACCCGAATTACCTCTCGGTATATCGACCGTTACCTAGACGGCGATGCCAATGGCGCCGTGCGAGCTCCATGTATAGCCGCGAAAACAAGATCATGAGAAAATTACTCGGCAAAGTAACTGCCGAAAGCAGCACCGACACCCACTCCATCGGCATCACCAGTGCGCCGCAATACCAGGCCTCTTACCGACCCAGTGCCTCCCAGAACGTCGTCTACCCTGCCGGCGCCCCCATTCTATGTCTCGATACTTCCACCGATCACCGAGCTGCTGTCATTGCCGGTAGACATGTCCTCAAAACCATCCTCTTTGACGGGCTGTCCGTCAGCGAAGGCACCGACCTCCGCGCCGCTATCAATTCGGCTTCGAGCAAGGGCGCATCGAGCTCTCTGACGGCAGACCAGCTCTCCATCCGAGACGTCAAATGGCACGGCGACGCCACGATCTTCACGGCTTGCGCCAACGGCAAGATCTTCTCCTACGACCTTTCGAGGATTGCGACAGGCGGCGCTGCGCTCGAATTTGTGCAGACGAGGGAGGATTCGCGCCAGGTGAATAGTCTTGATATCAACCCCCACAGGCAAACCACGCTACTCTCCGGAAGTCAGGATGGCTTGGTGCGGTATTTCGACATTCGCGCACCAGTGCAAAGCAGGTCAGGAGGCCTCACCTACAGTCCTCGAGGAGCATACAAGTGCAATGCGGATGGTGTTCGGCAGGTCAAATGGTCACCGAAAGATGGCTTCTACTTTGCTTGCGGTACCGAGTCTGGTGTCGTGCTCAAGTGGGATGTACGCAAGATTGCTCAACCATTGCTCAAGATCCCTGCGCATGACAAGGCTTGCGCCTCCATCTCATGGCATCCGGACGGCAACCATCTGATCAGCGGTGGATGGGACAGCAAATGCGCTGTATGGGACATGTCTAAGAACGCCGATAAGCGGCAAAAGCCGCGATGGGTTATATACACGCCTGCATCTGTGTCTGCAGTGGCTTGGCGGCCCGGTCTTTGGTCTGCCAGCGCTCAGGGAAAACGTGCCGCCCAGGTTGCTGTTTCCTACGACGACGGCAGCCACAAGCGGTTCGGTATCAACGCCGTTCATATCTGGGACTTGGCCAGACCATCCATGCCATACAAAGAGATCGAGCGCTTCGAGATTTCGCCTTCAGGGCTGCTGTGGCAGAACCAGGACCTTCTCTGGACCGTCGGCCACGACGGCTTCTTCAACCAATGCGATGTAGCATTCGCGCCAAAAGTCCTTGACAGGCAATCTGTGTCGACCATGGCACTATCTGCTAGGGGCGACGCTGTCATGTTCCTCGACGAGCGACTACACGACCGCCCACGGCCTCCCATCGTCCATCATCAGCCCAGCGTTGTGCCTCCACGGACTTCCTATAGCTCGAGCCCGACAACACCGATGTTGAGCATCAGCCGCAGCGACTCTGAAGAAGACGTTGTGGGCAGTTTCTTAGGGCCTCGTCGAAGAGTGAGCAGGAAACGGAGGCATAGTCTGCGCTCTATTCCTGTACTCAGCACCACTCCTCCATCTGGGCCAGGCCTGGGTGACGATCTCATTCTAGGTCTTGAGCAAGCCATTAAAGTCACTGGAACTTACAAGACTCAGCAGTCTATGGCTGTTGGTCACGTACCCGCAGCTGCAAGAGTCGATGTCTATCAGTACCTTTCTAGCTACTACCTCGAGACGATGGACAGAGAACTCCCGTTTGCCGAAGGAGCAAAGCCTCTAGCTCAGAGAATCGCCGGGATCATGGAGAATTACGCGCGCGCTGCCGAACACGTCAACCTGTTTCGTCTAGCACAAACATGGCGGATCTTGGCCTACTCCATGAATTTATTGTTGATCAGGAGAGCGCAGTTTCATCTCGAGACACGACTTGGACGATTTCAGAAGAGGCCGTCCATTTCCAAAGGCAAAGATATCCCCAAGCTGAGGGTCCCGAGAGCATTAGACGTTGTTGTAGAGATGAATGGGGAAGAAACTCCACGACGACCGTCCGCTCTCACGTCGAATGGCATAGACAGCAAGTCTTTGGGACCGCGGTCCTTGCTCTCCGAAGAGATTGAAAGCACCTCCAACGTTGCGACACCAATTGCGAGGGCCATTAACGAGGAAAATGCAGACCAGTTTGAGGAAGCTCAGCTGCCGCCGGTCAAAGAGTTGGATAGCTTTGCTTTGCCCCCCGCTGCACACAGTACGTTTAATGTTAGTCCAAGGAGGCGACTGGACTCGGTTCCTTTGTCCACCACAAGTCAAGAAAGCGATCAGACGCAGGCCTCCATCACAGAGGGATACGACTTCTATGATACTGACGCCCTGTCTCAAGCGATAGATGTGCCCGAGCCAAAGAAAAAGGAGCAGAAGCCCCTGGACTATGGACCCCGCACGCCAAACAGTCGTCGCCCTTTGCGACATGATTCTGACGGCTTCTCTCAAATGTTCTCCATGTCTGAAAGCAGCCGGCAAACTTCTGGGCTGGCATCATCCTCTGAAGGAGGGACGTCGGCATCGGCACAATCCATCACCAGTTATCCTGCTCAACTCACACATCAAAGGAATGCTAAAGAACAGGGTGAATATGAAAGCCGCATCCGTGGCAGAGAAATCGAGGACTCTCCCCAACACGGCGCCTTAGCGTCACTCTATGGTCCTGGCGAGAGTGTGCCCAAGGATTCTCCAGAAGAAATTTTCATGATTTCTCAGACGACCATGGCTTCTGATACAGCTACGGATGAACCTTCGACACATTCACAGCTAGGATCCCTACCTGCAACCTACGAAGACCATGCACCTCTTCATGTTGGTGTTGCTTCGTCAAGTCCTCCAAGGATCGCCACGGCCCTTCAACATGATACGACACCAAACATTCTCGAATCCGACTACCTCCCATGGCCGGAAGACCCGTCATACCCACATCCACTGGCATCGAATCCAGAGACAGATCACTCTCCGCCGCTCAACCCATATACCCTCCTCTCTCGCGCCCTGGACTTTGAGACTAGGACATCGGCACTGAATGCTTCCGCGATGGTCCTACTCCTGAAGCCCCTCGTGCCAGAATCCGTCATCGATCCCCATCGCGCATCCTCCATCCTGCGCCAGCACCACGCTCGCCTGACGGGGATGAAGCTCTTCATCGAAGCTGCCTTCCTTCGCAAGCTCTGCATCAAAGGCTGGCCAGAAGGCATCCCAGACTGGGGCGAAAACTACACCGCCATATTCGGTCCCGCCCAGCAAGGCGTCAAAGGCGGTTTCATCTGCCCCAGCTGCCACAAGCCCCGAGAGTTGGATCCGTCTCTCGGCTCCAGCGCCCTTTGGAAATGCAACCGCTGCCGTACGACAATGGCTCCTTGCGCCGTATGCGGCCACCGCGAGACCACAGCCACGATGCTCTCCCTTACTGATGGCATCGCCGGCACTCAGACATCAGCCGATCCTGTGATGAGTATTTGGTGGTATTGTCCCGGCTGCGCCCACGGCGGCCACGCGACCTGTCTCCAAGACTGGCATGCGCCCTCGGACGACGGCAGCTACGAGCTAAGCGATGGGTGCTGTCCCCTCGACGGCTGCGGACACGCGTGTCTTCCAGGCAAGTGGCGGGATGAAAAGTCGACGACGCGGTCCGACGAACTGGGTCGCGCGGCTGTCGAGAAAGTACGTATCGGAGGAGGCGGACTCGGCGGCGTCGGTGGCGGTGGTAAAGCAGAAGGAGGACGGAGCCCTGTGATCCCGCCTGGTGTCCGCGGCGACAGCGTCGAAGTTCCGCAGAGCCGGGCGGTAGAGAGCGTCCGTGAGGCGTTGGCGAACGGTACACCTACGTCGGGGATATTAAGTTCCAGCCCGGGAAGCAGGAATGGACCAGGGGAGCGCGAGAGGAGGAAGAGCGTCAAGTTTGTGCCGACGGAGCGTTAGTGGCAGCTCGGTCGTCTTTGGCGGTCTCTATAATCGATGCAAGAGAGAGGACGGTGTCGGGTTGTGTTAGATGAGGTTTCACGGCGTTGGGGAAGAAAATGGGTGTTTCCGGGCATCTTCGTCACGGATTTGCTATGTGTACTTTTAACTTGGGGAATTGAGGGATGGAGACGATTCCCATGGGATGTTGTTCGATACGATTGTTTCTAGCATTAGCAATTTTTATTATGGCGGCGACGGATCGCCGGGGTATCTCAAACAATGAAACCACGTAATTCGACCAACTTTGAACCATCCTGAACTTTCTGGTGATAGCTGCCATCAGTTTCCAGCATTCTCTCTCATGCCCTTGGTTCTCAATGAGACTTTGAACTCGTCGAACGGCAGGCCCGCAGATCCACCATTGCCGTGACTGAAGTTGTAGTCGACCGGGGAATTCGCCCCATCACGAACCGTCATGGCCTTCCGGAGCTCATCGCGCTGCCGGCTGAGCACCTCACTGTCGGTACTACCACGGCGACTGCCACCGACGCTGCTCGAGTCTCCATCGCCAACGCCTGCTACCGACGAAGGGATGCGACCCTTGAACCGTCCTGCCCAGAGGCCACGGACGCCGCCACGCTTGCGCTCAGGAACTTCTTCGGTACCGGCGCTGCTCACATACAAAAGATACTTAAGGTTCGGCAGCGTGTGGCGGATATCGACGACTTTCAATCCTTGGCTTGCACAGAGGGCCTCGATGTTCTTGTTGAGAATGAACCAGCCGTAGTCAAATCGATACTGGGCCGCGGTCGAGCCACCTCGCGGGAGGTACAAGGGGAAATCACGCTGTCGAGCCGCCTGCACCGAGTTCAGGTCGGTGAGCAGAGAGATATCGTCGCGAATGTAGGATCGCGAACCGAAAGGGGTGATTGGGTATGGGAGCGGTACAGAGAGGTAATATTGCAGCGCATTCGTCAGAGCAGCAACATGTCCCAGCGCTGCGGACAAAAGATCGTCGTCAGGTCCGCGCGAAGTGGCGCTATCATAACTTGTGTTCGGAAGGGGAAGGCCAGAGATTTGGAAAGAGAGGGGAGTGCCACTAGGACAGGGCGTGATCTGGTAGATGTTACCGAGGTCGGCACAAATGCGGCGTCGCTGGCCGCGAATCGTCTCCTTGGTCTTGGCGAGAACTTCCTTGGATGCTGACAGGTGCTCTGTTGCGTCCACAATGTCCTTTGCGAGCTTGTCTTGGAGAGCGCGGCCTTGGGCAATGGCCTCTCGGCGCGACCTGAGAGATTCACGTAGCTCCTCTCGCCGCTTTTCGGCTGCCTTCAAAGAGCGCAACTCTTGCGCCACATATTTGTTGGCCAGCTTCACCTTCTCCTCAGCGGCTGGTGTCTCGTTGTGCGCGGTTTTGTCGAGTAGGTCGTTGATCTGGCATGTGAGCTGCTCCTGTGTCACAATAGCGTCCTGGATCGAGTTATCCAGGGTCGCGAGCTTCATCAGGGCGTTGTAAGAAGATGTGTGAAGGGGCGGCATCTCCTTCGGGTGTGTAGGCTTGGCCGGGACATCGAGCGAGTATATACCGTCGGCAAGGTGGAAGATGAGGCCGTTGGGTGGGAACTTGCGATTCTGAAGGCTGCCGATGAAATGCAAGCTTCGAAGATCGACTGTATCATGAAGCAGGAGGGTCCATGCTGTTCGCTTCGCCCAGATCTTGATCGTCAATACCGGAGAGCGAGTGACGGAGGGGCCGTGGTGGTTGAGATCGAAGAATTGGAAGTTGAAGTTCTGTTGATCATCTTGTCAGTCCAGGTTACCAGACATATGGCTGAATTGGAACGCGACATACCGTCGCATGCTCCTGCATTTCGCTGATGTAAACTGGCTCATCCTCGCCCTCGCAATGCAGCGAGAAGAAGACATCGGCGGCTCTACCATCGATGGTCAACTGTAGCATGCGCTGTCGCGTTACTGGAGTAGCTTGGGCGAGGGCAGTGCTGCGGCGGCGCGGAGCTTTGGGTCGCAGATTGTCGCTGGAGAGAGCATGTTGGAGCTGGGGTGTGTCCCGGAGGGATTCGAGCTTCGAGGATGTCTTGTTTAGAGCAGTATCGTCGATGGTATGGCCTCGGGGGCGGATGAAGCTGAGGTTTCGGAGGTAGATGCCTCGAAGATGACGAAGCTTGCGGTTCTGAGGCATAAGAAGGGGGCGGGACTCGGGCGGAGGCATCTTGAAGTGCAGGTCATTTCATGGCCGGTGGGGAGGTTTGCGTCAAAGATTCATGAGACCACAAGTCGCAGCTCTGCATGTGTTTTGACAAGGATGTGGTGTGAAGAGTCGCACGCCAAGTTCGTCAAAGGATCGTGATGTCAGGTGGTGATGGTCGGGTTGGGGTTTCCAAGCGGGCAAAGCTTCCCGGTTGCCCGTCCACGTTGCTCCTGCCACTGCTGTCACTGCTGCTGACAGAAGGTACCTCACTGATGCACGGTTCCTTTGTTGCAGGAAGGAGCTCCCTGAGGTCCTTCCTGCTCTTGAAATTAGCCCCACCATCGTCATAGCTGCTTAGATGCATTTACTGCTTACAACTTGACCTCGATAGACAGTATATGCATACGTACATAACCTCCATTGATGCAAGTGAGCTGTGGTGGACTTGACCTCAGTACCTGTCCATCTTTGCTTTTTCCTCTGCTCCCACGGATACAGTTTCACATTTTTCCCAAGCTTCAATACGTCTCAAATTCTGATTGCCAAAAGGCACGATTGCCAACCATCGATTGACCAAACCTAGTCGTTCCTTGCAGCAACACCCCGAAAAAAAAAAAGAAAAAAAAAAGGACTATCCTCGGCTCGACATGCCCCTCTCTGATACCCAGCTATCAGTCAATCAAGGTTAAGAAGGGCCATGATCGATTAAGTCTCCGATCACACACGGATACGCCCGTCATATCGAGATTCCCTCCCCCGGTTGAACCGGCATCCCGGCTTGTCCCTGACGGCGAACTGCAGAGCGACCCCACCTCCGATCGCCCCGCCCTCGCCGAAACCTTAAATCACTGCCAAAATGCCCGAGCTTGGCCGTATGTGGAATCCTGGGTTTCCCCGTCGTCGGCACATCAAGCTTCGGAGAAGGGAACATTGAGACGTACGTCATCAGAGAAACGTACGTAGCATGTCCGAGGCTCATCTAGCGATAAGAGACGGGCGCCTGGGGCTTAGTTTTGGATGGCAAGTGTGGCAGCTTCAGCTCCCCTCATGGATCTGACATTTTGGTTCGCCCATCCGTCTCACCATCGCGCCCGAGGTTCATACGAACCGTTTTCTATGGCCTTCTCCATCCTGTCTTCGGTCTATGTACTTTCAGGACGCCGTGGGATGCCTCCTGCAGATAGTATCGCTGAGTAACTCTGAAAAACTTTGGCATACGTCAACGAACATACGAGAATCCCGCGGAATACATTTGCTCAACATTTTCCCAACGAGTGAAGGCTGATATTCAACCACTTAACCTAAGTTATCTGCCGGCTTTTCTGGTCTCCTCCAAGCTAGTTGCACAAAGATGGAAACCCCACCCGAGCCGCAACACATCCTCGTCCTCAGTAGAGGTAACGACGATGCCATTATAGTCAACTTACTTAAACACAATGGATGTCTCACCGCAGTATACGCCGTCAGTCATAACACCAAAATGACCAAAATGGAAATACGGCGAGTAAACTGCGACGCCATCTCCGCAACACACCGCCCCATTGCCGCTGTCAAACTCCGCAAGATACCCCCGAGAGCCGACGCTACCGTCCGAGGTGTCAAGTTCAACATGGCCCGCAAGCACCCCCTGTCGAGTACCCTCAACTTCCGTTTCTTGGGCGCAGGCGAGATGCGATGGGAAGAATTGGGCAAGCATGGCAAGGGCATGAGGCTCGTCGATTTCAACGGCAAAACTCTAGCTTTTTTCCGTCCGAGGCTGCACGTGGTGGATGCTGGTCCTGGAATCGAAGGAGGGCGAGAAGGAGTTGAAGAACACAGTTCGAGAGAGGGTGGAGCAGACGGGAGCCATCCTGCACCTGCAAGTCATACAAACACCATGAGCAAGGCCGAGTGGGGACCCGGATTCGAGCTGCATGCCGCTCTCGCAGATCTCGACCTCGATCTGGTGGTCACCACTGGCTTGGCAGCGGCAGAATATCGTCGGCAGTTGGATGAGGACTGAGACCTGGTTGCGGGGGAGGCGGAGGCACGAGAAACGCAGGAACTGGACAAAGCGCGCGACGGCTGATCTACTCATTACTCGTTCCATCGTACACACATTCCAAGTTTGATCGTGTCCTATACCCTTGCTGAAACATAATGGTATTCTGGGTATTGGTATTCCGCCGCTCCCAAATCAAGTTTCCAAGTTCGCCGTCGCTTTAATGCCAATGTAATACACAAAAGTTTATCCATAACGCTGGATGTGCTCAACTCTCTCTCTCCTACTGTCTGCCTACTTGGCCAATTAGAACCTCCCATTTTCGTTCTTCTGCCACCTCTTGCTAGACTTTACATTTTGCAGCTCAAAATTGGCTACGTTGACCTTGACATCTTTGGTGATGAGGACCTGACGTTTTCCGTCGGCCTTTGCTGCCATCTCGTCCGCAAGGTCGATCGGCGTGGGCGGCATTTCTGATGCCATCGATGGCGTCTCGGGTATTTCGTGAAACTTATCCTTGCCGATGTTGAGCATCGAACGTCTCGAGTTTACCGTCCCCAAGCTGACGTTTTTGGTGTTGGTCTTGTTGCTGGAGAAGAGTTGCGGGACCTTCTGGAGTAAGGGCCGCAGTGCTGGAAGACTTGCGCAGAGGATGGCGCAGAATTCCTCAATAATGGACCAGATTACAATGTCGACGTTGTCCCAAGTGGTGTCGAAAGTGCTCGAGAACATAACGAGGTACTTCAAACGGACCATGGTCGTAATGCAGGCGCTACAGTTCGTATTAGTCACAGTCTTCCACAAAGACAGTCACTCGAGGAAACTCACAATGAGCCAAGGCTGAACATGAAGCCTAGAGCAATTTTCTTCCTGATATTGAGCTGCAATTTGACCAACTCAGGAATAGGCAGAACCAAGATCACCAAATCCTCGACAATACTGAAGACTGCTCCAGCGTATCCAATGGCGGTAACGTTCAGGCATGTCCGGTTCGGGTTGCTTCTATCCCAGACTGAAGAGACTGGCGTGCATTGGAAGACGATAACCAGGAGGAAGATCAGGCCGTGGAGCAGCAAAAACATGATGAAGTATCGGACGGTGAGCTGGAACCACTTAGCGGGAAAGATGCGGGAGAAGAACAACAGGATCGAGATCTTCGCGAAGACTTGGATCAAGATATAGAGTTGCTGAACGGCGTAGAAAAGCTTGAGTAGCTTTGTTCCGGCGTCGAGATCGATGTTCCAGTAATGTGTTCCGAAGCCTAGATCGGCACTCGTGATTTCGATACCAGCCAAGCCGGCTAGGAGAATCTGATCTCTCGTCAGCCTTTGCTCTTGGAGCTGCTCAGGCTTTGCTCACTGTTGCAAAGATTGCCGTCCAATCATCCCACCATAGTCTGTTGGTGGTCTTCCATCGCGATATGCACCGCAGCGCAACCACGGGAAACGTGATGACTGATAGGACGATGGCGATGGTCTTGACTTCATTACTTCTCGACTCCTTGGGATAAGCATCGCAAAGGTTTGTCTCGAGCTTCGCGGCGCCTGATTACGTTAAGTCCGGCGAAAATATCATCAAATCCGGCGCAAGACCTACGAGCTTGGTCTTCGAGATGACACTTGAGTTGCACACATGTCGATAGATCCGACTGTAATTTGATATTGGGGCAGAGACATTCAGTCACTGACGCAACCGATGTCAAGCTGCAGTTGCCATCTTGTAGACCTTGTGTGATGCATGGAAGCTATCGCAGACAAACATGAATAGTCAGCCCTACTGTACGACTCGGAGAATATATGACAAGGCCCCATGGCGGGAATGCAAGGGCTTGCAAGTAAAAAAGCAAACAACAGACTTGGACAAACAACAAGAGACCTCCCGTCGGGGTTGACTTACTGCGCAATTAGGTACTTGTGTAAGCAGGCCGGCGGCGCTCTGTGCTTCGACTAAGGAAGCAATACACCACAGCAGAAGCAGTAATATCGAGCGCCAGCCATACTGCCTCGAATTCGTGGTCATCTCCTCGATACCTTGGGGGAAGTCATGAACAGAAACAAGTAATTAAACCCAGGGAATAGCCAGGAGCAAAAACGAAGAAGCGAAGGGGGAAGAAAGGAGCTTCACCATCCTTCAGGGTGTTTGTGCGACCCGTCCGCCTTCTTTAATATGAAGCAAGGCCCTTTATCCGACCTACCTCCTACGAGAAAAGAGACTGGAACGAATTAATAAGGCTACCGGTACGCAGTGGGCAGCATTGGACCCCTCCCTCTTCCACTCACACTTTCCTCGAATCCCACTCGGTGGCCAAGACCTCTATCGCGCGAGTGCGCGAGCCCATCTTTCACCTCAACCAACCCACCACACACCCACCACACCCACAGATACCTGCGCTTGTCTCTGCGTCAACGCGGCAGACTTCCGGGCGAAAAGAACAAAAGCGGGCTAGTCCACCGGGGGTCAGAACTGCTGCCCGCTGCAGCAAGGAGAAAAAAAGAAGGTACGTGAAGCAAGTGCAAACAGAGGTGCAGAAAATACAGGGGAACCCACATGGCGGGTGGGCTTTTCCTGACACACGCTTCTGCATGAACCCTGGCCGACGATAGTTTGGACCAGAAGAAGGACTGTCAATGCGTCTAGAAACACTCCAGGTCGTTTAGTAGAGTGGTACAATGGTAGTGGCTGTGTGGGCCGGCGCCGAACTCCCTCCTGTACTTCTTACTATTGTGTAACTTGTGATTATGTCTCCGTGATCTACCATACCCGCTTGGCTCAACTAGACCTTCTCGTTGAAGAAAGAGAAGGCAGCGAATACAATACTTAGAATGGGTAGAAGCTAAGCCGAAAGGGCTTCGTACGGCCGAGTTGGTAGGGTTGCGTTGGGGGCGATGAATCGGGAAGACCTCCCCGATGAAAGAACCACTCTTTAGGAGCTTTATCACATTTTAGGCCCTGTCAGTGCGGGGATGGGAAACTTGCGATCAGCGACATTCCAAAAGGGGGTCCCTCGCCTATGATGCCCCCCACCACCCTTTGGCCATTTTTGTTCGAGAGATGAGAAGACACAGACAACACAGGACTTTGAAAGTTGAGAGGGAGGGTAAGAGACAGTGAGTTCCAGCCACAGAGAGATTCGGACGCTACCTGTCGGCGAATCTGATGCCGCTCGGGCGCCTCAGGGGCAGCTCGTTGTTTACTGGCTGCGTCCACACCTTTGGACGGACAATAAGTCGTTGGCCATGTCGGGTAGGGGAGCGGATAAAGGCAGGCTAAATCCTCTCTGAAGAGGTCTGACCGGACGTCGAATTATCAGCCTGTCCACTGACTCGCGACTGGGGGTTAATCAGGCAAAGTCATGACTTCACTTCGTCTTTTGGTGCTGTACTTAGTAGAGAATGAGGACGAGCCCGGCACGGCCGGCTGGTAATCAAAGCCCGGGTGATCAAGTTGAATTAACGGAAAGATGGTGTCGGCAGTTTCCAAATCAAACAGAGATGCAGCAACTAAGACAGCACCCATTCCACAGAGATTCAATGTCTTAAGGTATGTTGTAGCCGAGGACGAAGGTTTTCTACCTTTCCACTTGCGTTCAACTTCCTTTCTAGAACCCTTAAACGTAGATTCCAAGCGACTTCTAGCGTCACAGCGCGCAGGACGTGTTCACTGTTGATTCCCAATTTGCAGATTTTACCCCCTTTAAATAACTTGGGTCGAATGAACATATCAAACCATGGCCGAACTCTGTTCCAATGGTCGCCGGCGCTATACAGGCGCTAACTCCGCAGAAGCAAGTCTCTCCCGGCGCTTGGGTCAGGCGACGCCTGGACCTTCATTGCCGGGATTCTGGTTGTGGCGGTGGTGATGACCTCCTTGTCTGGTTCTTCTACTCGATTTGTTCTCTCTAAACCGCGCGCCAGAACGGGAGAGGGGAGTGGCGGACGGGCGCGGACGGGCGCGGACAACAACTGCAACCGAAGTTGATGTGACTTTTTAGGATTTTAGGTTTCGATTGAGATCGTGTTGATTCGAAGTGGCAGCACTTTTCTGAGTCGCCCTTGGAATGCTGCGTGCCTGCGTCGCCGGCTGCACGTCATGATTGGGGCCCGGATACCAGGTTGATGGCTCTTCGGAGTTGGGTTTTCGATGGGGCTGAGATAGACGCGGGCCCTGGTTTTTTGTCCCGTGTGTTCCCCTTGTTGATTGATGCGGTGTTCGTGCCATCGTCTGGCCCTGCTGCCCACGGCGTAGATGGAATGAAGCAGGGACGTGGCTCGAGGCGTGGAGGTGAGCTTGTTAGTTTCAGAAAACCCCAGAAAGAACACTGGCACACTGGGTAGTTTTTTTTCGCCTCTGTCAGTTGGTTTATGGTGCAGCCTCGGCTCTTTTAGATCAACCTTCATGTCGGTTTTCAGAAGGTCGAACCCGTATTTACTAGTCTCTTCCCTGCTAGACCGTATTGGATCTCCATCAGAGGCTCGGGTTCCTGGTAGGGGGCGGAATTTCTTCCGGTTCTACGTCTACAGGATTGCACTATTAGAAGCGGCGTTGTGAGAGATTCGTCTCGAACTAATGTTAGTATGCTGCCTAGAGTTCAAGATCGTGGATAGTGAGTTGAGACCAGCACATGATTACAATTACTCCTCGTATCATTTGGGTCATGGGAATCAAGCTATTCTATTCTCGCGGGTTGTCAGCAACTTCCGAGCTCCTTCTCCACGGAAAATGCCACGGATATCTGTGCTGTTCAAGATCCTCGTTGCCGCGTATTTAGTCCGTCTGTCAAATCCCCCCAGACAGCTTGAAACGGTGCCCGCGGATCCGCACTTTAGCAGAGTCAGTAGCAAGCACACCACAGCTGTCAGCCCTTCTTCCAGCTTTGGTCCGCCTCGACCACCGGATGGTTCGACCACGAGCAACGGGACAAGCATGAGACCATGTCGGCATGAGTCCAGACCACACCCGGATCTTTGCTGTCCCCACGGGAGCCAGCAGAAGCTTCGAAGATCACCTCATGGCAGGTGCTTAGGTTTCAAAAGCTTTGGCCGTGGGCGGACGAATTCAAGATCCAGCCCCGGAAACTGGAGGATATAAGCCGGAGACGTTACTACCTACGTACTCCTGAAAGCCAGCGGCCGCTGGCCGCGGATGGAATCCCCATTGGCTACAACGACGCTCGCCCAATCAAATACGATGCTCTTCTGGAGCACCGGCGATGCTCCGGTGCCGAGACCATCACCGGCTGACTGGTTGACGGGCGTGCGAGTCGATATGGGAGAACTTCGGTAGAGTTGGTCTCCGTCGAAGCTCGCTCGACAGTTGATAACCCGCTGGCTCGGGTGGATTACAGATACTGCACGGCCTTGATCACATACTCACCGACTCAGGTCACTGTGCGATGACACTTGTGATACTCGATCAATAGATCCATGATGACTTATGTCTTGTTTTATGCAGAGTCCGTTCGCAACTGTCTTTTATGCGTTCACCAATCTGGATAAATCCGTACGTCTTTGTGGGAATCTCTCCAACTTCTTCGCTGGATAACTCGAAACCGTAACAAACAAAAGTAACGTATGACAAAGGGAGGTCTATAACGCAATTCCGAGAACCTGATCAGCCTTAGTAGACTGAGGACTCCTGTCCCAACAACGGCCAAATTCTTGCTGTTCCAACCTCAACCAATGGAACTCTGGCTTAAAGTCCGGGTTAACGGTCCTCTCGAGCGGTTGATCCTTCCACGGTGTCGCCATCGGCCTGATGACTCGCGGCGCCACAGCACGGCTGAACGTTGGCTTTTCGGCGAATAAGGTATACCGCAACGACTTGCTTCTTTCCTTTCGAGGCGTGGGTGGCTTGTTGCGGGAGCACTTGGTTAAGAGGGGAATGATCGGCGGTATCGACATACAGACGATGCCGATGGTGCATTCAGCGATGGAACAGAGCACCCATGAGACCCAGCTGTCTATCACGGTGAAAGTTAATACCTCGACTCATCCTCTAGACATGCTATTTTGGAGTCTAAGGTGAACTTACAGGTCACGTCAGAATCGTTCAGAGGCTCTAGGTTGACAAGCTTGAGGATCGCCGCGGCACATGATCTGAGTCTTTTGTCAGTTTAAACGTTCTTCTTCATCCAAAACCATCCCAGTAAAAACTCACAGCCCAGAAAAGGCAAAGAGGATCGTGAGCAAAACTTTCTTGCCTATTGCCATCTTTATGTTCCAGATATACGGCAGCGGCACTGTACATAGTAGCATGTCGATCGCAATATTCAAAGCCGCGCTGGCATGAAGGAAGTCGATGAATGGATAGCACGTCGCGCCGCTAGTCGAAGAGTTCCATGCTGCCGTGATGGGCTTGCATTGGAAGATGACGGCAAATACGGATGCCAAGCCGAACCCTCCAGCGATCACCGCCGCACCGTACATGATCCAACGCGCGCTTTTTTGTGTTATGAGTCTGAGAAAAGAGCCGATTGCTGAGAGACGAGTAAACGCGATCGCACAGGGGTATAAAGTATTAGCAATGAAAATGAGCTATACAATTCGTCAGTCATTTCCGTTTCCCAAAGCTGTCTTACTAGTCCCTCGTAGTACATACCTGGAGTAAGCTCTTGGTGTTGTCGGGGAGAAATTCAGCATCGAGATTCCAGTAGTGCTGACCGAGTCCTAGGTCGGTCGCTGGCATCTTCGTAAGCAACAGGCTCATGATGTTTTCTTCCACGGAAGAAGATCATACCGATTGGAAGTAGCGCGCATACTGCGAAAGTAAAGAGCGCGGCGATGATCAGGAGCACATCGTCGCTGAAAAAATTCCGTGTTACAGTGCAGCGGACGATGATCCGGAGAGGCACTACTATTCCGACGAGAACGAAAGCCGTAAGATTGACTGCCCAAACCACTGTTACCAGACTCCTCGTATCACCAGTGTCCCCTCCCATCCTAACGACCTGCAGTTGTGACCCGTTGGCGAGCTCGCTATTCATATTTGGTGTACCGAAATGAAGCAAGGCGTATAAGTGTTATCGATTAATCATGGCGACACTCAATGTCGAAAGAAAGAAGTGAAAGGCGCTGGGCGGAGAGAAAGAGAAACAAAATTTACTGAAAAGAACTACTGAAAAGAACCATCAAGCACCATGACGAGAGCGCGTCGCGTGGCGGGAGGCCATTGACTTTTCTACACAGACTCGAAAGCCTTCCACGCACATGCATCACGGCCGTTGTCATGAGCATCGACAAGCCACGGTGGTTTCACGAGTGACGTTTTGCGCCTCCTTTCCTTCGGCGCCACGCGAAGACACCAGCAGATCATAGAGAAATCTCACCGAGTGCCGCGTCAACGGGCGGGAGCTAGCAGAAGCTTCCAAGGCACCACAGTCTGCAAAGTCTTCATAAAGTGCTTGAGGGTGTACGTGCAGACTCGTGTTTATGGAGCGCGATATGCTATGGCCCTTGGGCTTTTATGCGAGAAGGGAGGTTCTTGACAGCAAGTATTCGCAAGGCAGCATCTTTTCCATCTCGTGAATCACCTTGTAGATTCGACTTCACGTCATCGACTCATTCTGCGGGGGAAAGGAAGACGGAGAGGATTCCCGTTTGGAACATGGAAAGAAAATTACGGTACAGCTTATCTCGACGCCAATCGACAAGAGGCCGCCACATGACCATCCTCTCCAATTCTTCATGGAAAAACACGGGCAGACCAAAATTAGCAATCCCAAATTAGACCGAGATAGCTCACCATTTTCATCCTAGTGCCTCGGACTTGGAGCAGACTAAATCGCGGCGCATTGACGCCTCGTTGAAGAATTCTGCCTTCGCCGACTCACCTGACGGGGCCGGACCGTCTCGATATGTTTTCACGGCAGTCTCAACACGTGATATACAGGCATCTGTGAGAGGTTGGACGTTGGTCCAGAAAGCTGTTATTGAGATCTTCGTGACATATTGCGATGGTCTAGGGGCTAACCATGCATCCTGCCGTAAGATTGCGGTCATCGCGGGAGATCATCCTTAGTGAAACGTCATGTAATTATTACCAGAGGTTGCGAAATGTCATTATCTCTCTCTGAAGCTCCCGTGATGCAAATGTCCCTGAAGTTCATGTTTGATGAGTTGGTGCGTGTGTCGGTTCCAGTCCTTTGAGGTCATCTCTTCCATTCTCAGACCCTCTTCGGGCGACGATATCTCATGCGCCTAAACGCAGGCTATCAATGGTATTCCACCCAAGGGTTTCAAATGAAGGCTTGTTATGTTGTCGTCTTCTGTATGGTCCATTGTAAATATCTGGAGTAGGCTCGACGGAATATCTGTGTTGGGACCTGGACAAGTCCCGTCTGCCATCATTTGATCGTTGAGACTACCATTCTTGAAGAGGTGCGAGGCCAAGAGTCGACAAGTACTTGTTCGCTTCGACTGTGGTGTGCTCCCACATGCCCTTCACCTGCTTATCGTCCTTGGCGACTGGATTGGGGGCTACGATCTTGCCAAACGGCTCCAGGTACTTACCCTTATACTTGTCTGCGTTCTCCCGAACCTCGGTGGCAGTGGCCGCGAAGACGGACGTGATGGCGCCCTGGTCGACTGTGAGGAAGGCCGCTGATCTGACGAACGAAAAGAAGGCATTTCCAATGTCCTTACTACCTGGACTGGCCACGCCACCCGGATGCACTGACATGGACAGGATCGGAAGGCCTTGCTCGTCCAGAAGTCGCTGCAACTCTTGGGCGAAGAGTAGATTGGCGACTTTGGAGACGGCGTAACGGATCATGTCGACCACGAATATACGGCTCACAATATAACGCCATTGCCACGGGTAGTAAGGCACAGGCTTCGTCAGGAAGGACGCGGAATCGAAGGTGAATGCGTAGTTGGATGGCAGCATGGCATAGTTAACGTTGGAGCTGAGGGTGATGATGCGGACGTCGGCCCCAGGTTGTTTTGTAGCTTCCTTGAGAAGCGGCAGCACGCCGTTGGTGAAGACAAAGTGCCCGACATGGCTAGTTGCATGGAATATTAGCAAATATGCCCACGTGGTTTTTGGTGTACTTACTTGACCCCCATGTGCCATTCCCACCCGGGACCCATCGTCTCCGTCGTGCCGGAGGCTAGACCGGCATTGTTTACTGTGAAGGGTATCCTATCAGCATGGTTCTGCCCCCAACTCTAAAAAGCGGAAGAGTAACTCACCCAGAATGTCTACCCTAGATTCCTTGCTCTTCAGCTCTTCGACTGCGGAGGCGACCGACTTCAAGTCTGCCAAGTCCAAGGGAAGCCAATGCAGGTTGGCGGCGATTGTCGCAGGGTTTTCGGCCGTCAGCACGGTGCGAGTCTCATCGGCTTTGGCCTTTGATCTTGCTGTGAAGTAAACCTTGGCACCTCGAAGGGCGAGGTACTTAACGGTTGACAAGCCAATGCCTGCACTGCGGGTGTGTCAACTGAATTCCTTGCTCTCTTTGACTGGGCCTACAACGTACTTCCCGCCGGTGACAACAACTACTTTACCCTCGAGGTTGGGCATATCAGTGAAGGGATCCCACTTTCCAGACATCTTGAGCTACTTGTTATTCTCCAACTGAAACGTGTTCGGACAAGAATAATCGAATCGGTCACGAAATCTCGGGATCGCAACCAGTTGTTTGTACGACGGCACGACGTTCTTTACTGTCTTTCCACCGTACTTATTATCTTCAGCGCGAAGGATTCGTCGATCTGGCTACACTGTATCAGATATCGGGGACAAAAACAAAGGGCTTCCTTCTCGGTCACTTATCAGGATTGCTCATGTAATCAACCCGTAGACCGACCCCGACGGGAGCGGGGACGACTGGGGGTTCGGATGGAGCCGCTGCCCCTTGAGTCTCGTCCGATTCGGGACAATGCTGACCTTGGCATTCTCCACCGTTGTTGGGACGGTTGAATCATCTGAGATTCCAATTCGTGGAGAGTCCAGACGCTATCCACCGGGTGCTCTTTGTTGCCGGGGTTGGTTTGAAGGGACCCGGCACATCATTGGTCAAGTTCCGCATCATAGCCAGAACCAACCTGTAACCAACAAGCAAAGTGAGTCGAAGGCTGTCTATTCGTTCAAAGACCGCACGCGATGGAGGGAGGAGGAGGAGGAGGAGGAGGAGGAGGAGGCGGATGAGAATGAGGAGGGGGGCCGGAGACGAAGCCCAACGTCGACGACACAGTAAGCTTCTTGCATTCTCCAGAACTCCCCCTCTTTCGATTCTGCCACACACCCTTCGCGTCAATCAGGAATTCACTCCTCTCATCTCGTACACCATCAATCCTTGTGTGACCCGAGCGTTTGCTGGAATAGGCAAATGCCAACCTTGTCCCCAGATCATCACGGACTTCTCCCGAGCCACTGAGGCCCGCTCAAATCGCCCATCTTGTACGTCTTGTCCCGGCCTCGCGGTTCAGTTCGATTAGCGGGTTCCTCTCGTCGCCTTGCGATTCGGTAACGAAGGCCCTTGATCCCATTTTCGAGGTTAATCGGGAAGGGGTAGGAAGGGTACGCCATCTGAGCTCGTCCAACGTCGAGCCCTTACTCGTTCGTCTCTCGACAACAGCGGTCCACGGCTTCGCCCGCGATGCCGTCCGCGAGCAAGGGCGGCGGCAGGACCCGGGAGGATGGGTTCCTGTTTGTACCTATCACTCATCCAAGCGAGAGCAAGGCCTGGAAGAAAAAGGTCAGATCACACGCCGCGCGAAATCCAAAGGCCCGTCAGCAGCGGGTGGCCGCTTATCAGAAGTCAACCACCCCTCCCGGGCAAAGCCTAATCGAAGATTCCCCAGCTCGTCCATCGATTCAATCTGTGAGGTTATGGCTTGTCACAACCCTGAAAAACGGCTCGCGTTCTGGCCACACCCCCCTTCTCGCTGGCAGCCCCATATCAATGCTGGGTGCCGCTAGAACGGATCCATTCAATGCATTCGTCAGGAGAGTTACTATCCAGGAGCAAGGGCTTCTCGACCACTGTAAGTATGCAACCCGAGAGTTTGATTGATCGTGTAAATTTGCCTGTAGAAGTTGCAAGTCGTAACTGCAGTCTACCTTGCAGGTATAAAAGGGTGAGCTGCGGCACCAGGGGACCCTTCCTCATTCCTTCCCGCTCATCCCTTTGCTTGCATGGCCAGACTACAGTCTGCATCCTCTAAAGCGTGTGAATTTCTGCATGATCTGGCCAAGACTCATGGCTGACGATGTCGATATGCAGTCCTGCGTAGCATGGCGTTACTAGAGATGATCCGCTTGCCAGAGATGGAATTGATGGTGCAAGGCGAAAGAACAGCATTCTGCAAGATGATGACGACCTACTGGGTGCAGTCAGCCCTCGCCGATCCAGGGATGCTTTCTTTGGTACTCCTCTGGTCAATGCGACACCTTGCCACTGTACGAGAAGAGGGCTACAGTGACCCTGTAATGACGATGTACAAGATGGACACGATACGTCAGCTCAACGCAACAATAACCAGAGAGGGGAACAACATCAGTAACCTTACTATGGCCAAGAGCCTCTGCTTGGCATCAGACGCTGTAAGTCAGCTCCATGTTCCCAAGGGCCAAGACCGCATGCCCATTTTGAAGCGAGTACGAACATAAGGCGCTAACACAGTCATCTAAGAATCTGGTTGGAGAACCTGAAGTAGCTGCAAAACACTTGAAGGCCGTGGAGCGCATGGCTCTTCTATGCACTGGTGGAACAAACTCAGTTGAAGGAGAAGGGGATGACTCGCTCAATGATCTGCAAATGTTCTTTAGCGAGAATGATCAGTCGCCGGCACACATGGCACAGGTCAACCTCAGCTTCAAATCAGAGAAATCAGAAAGGGCAGGAGGAGTAAACCGGAACATGGACTATGTAATACGTCCAACGAGGAGTCCGACAAGAGCTTCTTAGATTACTAATCCCTAATCTTAACACTCCCGATTTGATGCTATCGATGCTACCGTTGCTTTTGTGTCTCATTCAAATAATATGCCTACACGCCCCTGTGTGAAATCAATTTCAAAGTGAGTAGATAACTACATGTATGCGCTTAACGTGTTATGAGCCCACACCCTGCGGGTAGGTGAACAAGCCCTTGGGATCTAATTTGGCTTTGATGCTCTTCAAACGCCCCAGATTATCCCGGTAGTACTGATCCTGCGCGTCCGCGTTGCTGAGCTGAGAGTCGGCGTAATTGACGTAACGCCCCCAATCACTACTTGCCATCGTATTTGTTACCGAAGACATCCATTTGCTGAGGAACTTGTACCCGGATTTGGGGTACGCATTACCACCAGAAGAGTCGTAGAACTGCCACATGAGCACCTTGTCCCGGTGAGCATAAGAGGTCGCCGTGTTTGAGACTTGAGCTGTCTTTGTCCTGCCACCGTGAACGTCAATGAGGACGAACCAGCCACTGTCCGTCGACTTTGCCGTATTCTGGTAGTAGTCGGCAAAAGCAGCGAAGCCTGCGTTCGAGACCGTCTTGGTCATGAGACTCGAGGCATAGAATGTATCTGACAGGCTCTGCGGTCCAGTCTCGTCAAGGCTTGCTGTACCGGCGTAGTGCTCAAGCTGACCGATCCAATCGGTCTGGGTAATAGTGGCGCCACCGACGTCGATGCCCAGGGGAGACAGGAACTTCTTGAGCACGGCGCGTGTCTGGTCCGCAGTTCCGTAGTAGAGACCGTCAAACGCGGTGCTGTCAGCGGTGACAACGGCCCGCATGTTCAACTCGAGAGGCTTGTCATTTTGGGCATACTTCTGAAGAGCTACAAGAGCCGCAGCCAGCTTGTCCTTCTTCAATGCGGATGTGACCTTAAACCAGGTGACGACCGAGGGAGCTGCGAACGTGTTGAACTTGAACTCGGTAACGATACCAAACGATGACCCCGCGCCACGGAGAGCCCAGAAGAGATCCGTGTTCTGGGTTTGTGATGCTTTGACAACCTTTCCATCAGCCGTGACTACGGTTGCCTCGGCGATCCAGTCTTCCGCAAGGCCGTACATGGACGATGAGAACCCAAAGCCGCCATGCAAGACATGTCCCATTCCAACACTGTCAGCATGGAGTTAGCCTCATTTCCATCTAATCAAAATACTTCGATGCTTACCCAGGACACGATCCATGCGAGATAGCTCGACCTCCCTGGTCAAACAGCTCCGTTGCGATGTGCCCGAGCCGCGCACCCGCTTGCACCGTCGCAGTGTTATCAGAGTTCAACGTAACGCCGTACATCTCGTCCAACCACACAACCACATGGCCGTTCTCGCCGCCGAGTCCTGCGGAGGAGTAACTGTGACCACCACCTCGGGCCGTGACCTTAAGGTTGTACTGCGCTCCGCACTTCACGGCAGCCTGCACATGACTGACATCGGTAGCCGTCACGACAACGGCCGGAGTATACTGCAAACGAGAGTTGTAGGGCCGAATGTCGTCGGACCAATCCGAAGATGAAGATACGGCGACCGGTGCCTTGGCTGCGTTGAGACAGCCCTGGACTGTGTTGTTCGATGTGCCAGGCTTGCTTGCTGCTTCGGGTAACGGCTTGGATACGGCTAAGGGAATGCCGCAAAGTGCCAAGGAAAGAACGATATTCGACCGCATGGTATCAATGAGAGTGGGTGAGCTTGGCTTACGAGGTGGAAATCATATTGCCTATCCACCATGCCTTATATGTTTATATGTCGCTGAAGGGACCAGGACGTCTATTCCTGGTGCTACGGGTCCAGACCTATTCGCCTCCACGGGAGTGGTAAGGATTCGGCAGAGCCGCTCATCATCTCTTTGATCTTTGAATACGATCCGAATTAGCTTCTCCACGGGGCCATCTGGATTTGTGGATTTCCTGGGGAACAGACCTGACAATGCAAAGAGGCGCCGGATCCTGAGTTGATGACTAGCCTTTGTCTGGAGCAGTCGTCGCAAACAGTCTAGCCCGGGGGCCGATCTGTTAGTCTCGACGGAAACGGCCCAAGACCGACCACAGATTTAGCCCTTTCAAACACGAGAAACAAGGTACATATCAGGCGCGGTAAGGGAGCCAAATAAGTGGGCAATAAAACAGGATCCCGCTCAACACCCTCCCTGTCTCTCTTTCTATTATTCCTATTACCACTATTGTTCCAATTCCTATTCCTATTCCCATTATTAATGACTACTATATCTACATTATACTTTTCTAGACGTATGCTACATAGAGTATAGAAGAAATAGAAAATACTCATAATAATAACGATACTAATAATACTACTCTAAGTTGTCAATAGTAGGAAGAATAGAATTAGAGCTAGGTGCATTGCGTTGGGCGGCAAACCCTTGCGTCACCCACATGCTAAATTTCGGGAAGCCATATCAAAGTTTCAGAGAGATGCTTGTCTCGGGCTCTCCTAGGTTCTTGCACTCATACTACAAAGGCTCTCGACCTGGGAAGACACGGTCTTGTCATGTTTAGCGTGAATCTCAGGATCTGCAGATCCCGCGAAGAAACAAGCTAAAATCTCGACCGCCAAATTCTGGTCAGGAGTCGGCGTTCCAAGACAATGATGATGCCAAATTGGGACCTGGGAACGATGTCTTCAAGCTACCCCGCGGAGGGGCAAGTAGGATAACTGCATCTGTCGATAGTCAATTTTGGACCATTAGCTTGGCCACGCGCTGGTTGAACAGTATGTGCAATTCTTAATTGACATAAGGGTCATTAAGTTGGCAATCAATGAACCCAGATGCACTCCATCGAGCAGCTTCCAAAGATCAGCTACATGCGTTGGATTAGGAGGAAGGAGGCTGAAAGCTGGCAGTGAGATAGTGCCCCCTCTAAAAAGACGGTTCAGCGTATTTGAGAACCCGGTAAATTGCAATCCCAGTTTAGTTACACCTGTCTGTTTTCCCCCAGTGTACGTGTAGACAGCAGCTAGGTGGGACTTTGGATTAGAGGGGAGTTTGACTGGTGTAAAACATTAGCTTGATCAGCCTCACGAAGAGCGACACCTTACTGTTGTCGCTTTTGGTGCCGCTTTAAATTGTCCTGGCGAGTAAAAACTTGGGTACAACCAGTATGACTGCAGAAAAACTGCGTTCTTCCTTGGGGCGCGTGATGACGATCCAGCGACTTCCTGTCTGCAAAAGTCTACGCATAGTTTAGCGGCTTTATAATCTTGCTTCAGTCTCGACCGAAGGCCACTCAAATCATACCTTGGGTGGGCTACAGCAAACACAGGAGTAAGGTCTTGTCACTCTCGTGCCCTTATTGGCTCTGCCAACAAAGTCAGTTGTGAGCATTGGCATCACAGTCTGGTAGTCGTGAGGTAGTGGTGTTGATAAACCGTCCATATTGGTTAGGTCTAGGAGATACTGTTCGTTCGGGTATCGGAAAACCGAGGAGCTTGTGGAAACAGGGAAGTCTCGCGTTTCAGCCATGGCTTGACCTTGTCTCTCATCCTGTGGAGCGTCCCCGTCTGTGTCGACTGTCGCAGGAAGGGCCGAGAGTGATATCTCCTCTAAGTGCGCCGCTAGATGTTCAACAATGTCTGACTTCGATCCTTGCAATGTTTCCTGACAAAGTGGACACACGCTATGCTGCGTCTCCTTGTCGACATCATGGCTGTGAGCGAGGTGACTGACCCACTCCTAACGGCTCACGAAAGCTGTGTGTCCTCGAGGACAGGTTAAATTGTGGCAGACCCATGGTCTGAGGTCCATGAATAAGTGCTTCCTGTGGATATGCTGTCAACTCCCGGTCTTTTGTCATGCCAAAATTTAACAGACTTCCAATTTGAGTTGTCCCTGAAACAAACTTTCCCACCACACGCCATACATTCAAGATGCTCCCCTTGCTTTGCAGCTTCTGATAGCGGCGGGATCTTCACAGAATGGCTACTCTTTTGACGGTAAGACATGAGCGTTGCGGCATATGAAGTGTCTGTGTGAGTCGACATCCCAACACCTGAATCGCTAAATTCACTTGGACCAGGCCCATTCTCTGCAAACTTGGCATCATCGGCATTTTCTGTCCTTAAATTATCCGTTCTCAGAAATCGTTCAAGGTTGGCTCTGGCGAGCCGGTCAAGTAGGTCCTTTGGTGCCTCCGGGTAGCGGTACGAAAGGATATTGGTGAAGATCTGGTGTGGCTTGAAGCTGGTGACAGCGTCTCCGGAATGGGGCACTTCGATGATCTTGTAGTCTCTCACATGGCCGTTGATGAGGGGTCCAAGATCAAGGAGGCACTGTACGGAGATATCAATATCCTGGAGAGCCCTCTCTAACTCGTGGTCCTCGGAGGCCGTTGAGTCACTACTACTGTCGCTCTCATCGCCACTAGAGATTTCCGTGCGACGATGGCGCTGTAAACCTTCTGACAAGACCCATGATGCATCGGATATGGCCTTATTCAATGTGAAGGGACCCGTATCTACTTCGGCTCCTGGGTTGAGCAAGGGAATGAGTTCTGCAAAGTTAGCCGAGTGCATGCATTAGTACCATGATTGGTATTGCGGCTTGCGTACTGTTCAACATCAGATTGCCAATTGACACCAGCAACTCTAGCACAGAGCGCTGCAATATCCATGACGTCGCGAGGGCCTCGTCCAGATCTCCTTCAGGAATACCATACCCCGAGGCCCACAGCGTCAGCGTATCGCAGGCCTTCTTCAAGCAATGTCCATTGCTTCGAGAGAGATCATCACGAAGCTCGGCGAGTCGCACGACACCTTTGAGTTCCCGAACCGCTGCTATGCAGAGGATTCTTGCAACACTTGGGACGTCTCTGCTGGCAGTGCCAGAGTCCGGCTCGTGGACTTGGAGCTCGCCAGGTCCAGAGCTGAATTCTATCAGACTCGCACCTACTGGGTCCAACGACAAGGACATTACGACTGCTTGTGAGATCTGTATGTCGACTAGATGAACAAAGCGGCAAAAGATTAAAAAAGAGGGGTCAGCGATGAATAACGCATCACAGCCATCAAAATCGGGCTGCAGCCGCATAGGCGAGGCGCAGGTCCGATGTGACTGGCTCAAGTTAACGTGAGTGAGGCTCCCAATCCTGCTTCATTTCTTGTTACTTTCAAAAAACCACATGAAACATGGCAGAACTCGCATTAGGCATCGTTGGCGTGGTACCAGTCGTCGGCTTTGTCCTCCAGTCATGCAAGGTCGTTTCGAAGACGTTGCACGACTTCCGACACTGTTCAGCCATCATCAAAAGAGCCCAAACTAGTTTCACAATTCAGGATCGAATCTTCAAGAACGAATGTCAAGTTTTACTGCGGCTTGTGTGTCAAGACCTTGACACAATCGATGAGATGTTGGACGACCCCGACCACCCCGAATGGACGAGCAAGGATCTGGACCGGGAGATCATCGAGTGGCTGGGCAGCAACTACAACGCATACTTGTACGCAGTGAAGGCCTGTTCAGAGGAGATAGAGAGACTCCGAGAGCATTGTAAGGAGTTTGAAGTCGTGTATGCTCAGCAACAGACAGTATGAATCAAGGACCTCATTGACCCCCTGCGCTGCTAACCACTGCGCACGCATAGGGCGAACGACTGAAGGCCACTATCAGGCGCCTCATAAAGGTACAAAAGAGTTTCAAAATTGCCATCAACGACACCGAGTATTGCCGGCTCGTGGAGAACTTGAGAGAGTCTACTGGGGCCCTTCACCTGCTCAGGACACAGATCCAGGATCTTGAGGAAGGAAGAACATTGATACGCGTCAAGAAAAGATCGCCGCCGCTCGGTGAATGGGCAGGTGTACTAGAAACGCGCCGCGTATCGCAAGCACTCCATAGGGCGCTTTCAGAGGCCTGGAACTGTGGACAGGCAGTTCACGAGAACCATCGTGTGAAGCTCTTTGCCGAAGGTGAGCTCGATCACAACGAGATCCAGCTTAGCCTAACGCTCGCCTGTCGGGGAAACACTCAGGAGCCGGGTTTCAGCACATTAGCGGGACTAGTCGTGCGATCCCAGACTCTGAGTCGTTCCGAGCATCCGCCTATGTTGCCGCCAGCAGGCGAGGAGGCACCGACAGCGGCCAAGGGAGTAAGAGTGACTCAGTTCAACGAAACGGCTCTCTCGGTAATTGCAAATGACGTCGGACTTCATCGAACAGACCCTCATCGACTATCTTGTGATCTTCGTAGTACCAAAGACTTTTGCCGAGAATTGACACAGGGGGCCCAGCCGGCGTCGCCAAAGGCTGTGGCAGCATGTATCGGCCATCTCGACGTCACTACGGATCCAGGTTATCGGCACTCATTCTTCCCAGGTCTCCGGGATATTGTCTGCCGTAGTCAAGCGGTGGCTCTTTCACAGATACTCAATCCTTCAACACGGGACTCTATTTCTATTCTTGACAAGCTCAAGCTTGCCCGGTCTCTTGTTCTAGTGATTCTGAGGTTCCATTCAACGCCATGGCTCAGCGACTTATGGAGACTGCAAGACCTCTCGATCTTCTCACAGAGTCAAGGGGACTTGTCAAAAGCACTCGAGACACTACATGTAGGCGTTGGGCTAATGCAGAAGAACACCGACCGACAAGGAGCTGATTTTGCAGAAGGCTTCCGGGTAGCAGCAAGCTACCAGAGCACAGGAGTCGGTTATGACCAGCTCCTCTGTGGTGTTGATAATCTCAGCTTACACAGCCTCGGAGTGGCGTTGATCCAAGTTGATAAGTGGCAAATGCTTGAAGTCGAGACCCCGGACGACATTGTCAAGGTCCGACGAATGTCAAGGCAAGGCTTTTCTCTCGGACCGCAGTACGGCGAGATTACAAGGAATTGTCTTCGCTGTGACTTTGGCCATGGCTACGACTTGACCAAAGCGAAATTGCAGGAAGCAGTGCATAACAACATAGTCGGCGTGTTGGAGGAGATGATAGCTGTCTTAGATCTCAGTGAGGAGAATGACAGTTCTTTCTGATTGAGCTACCATACAAGAGCACGCATTCCTACTCTAGGCAGCACATTATAATAGCTACAAGCGTCCGATTAGCGCACGGTATCTCGAACCCTATTGCAGTTAAACTCTCGTCCTGCAACGGCTGGCGATGCGCCATCCTGCTGCTTTGATGGTCTTGCTACCATACACTCACTAATTACCACATGCACTCTTGTGATTCAATCAAATATCAAACTCCAGCCTGAAGGAACGCCAATGCATAGACGGCAGAACAAGAAAATGGCACAGAGTCGGCCACTACGACACTCAATCCCAGGCAGCTGACCATCTTCCCCAGGGGCGGTCTCCACATCATGCGGAACACAGGTATGTTTATGGTTTGTGACGGGGCGGCACGAATAAGCTCTTGGCTCATTGTAACCCCTTCGTACAGGGTGCGGCAATGCTACGCTTATTTCAGCCCTTGACTCCGATGACATGAGCACTTTGAATATCCTCAACGGCCTGTTCAATTTGCCCAATTACATGGTTCAGGCTGCCTTTGGAGGTGCTTCGGAATCAAATGGTACCGAAGGGAGCTGGAGTCACGTTCCTGCTGTTGCCACCGGAGCTGCTCCCGAGTCCGAAGAGTGCTGGGCTAGGTGTGGCATGGGAAAGCACTATGTACAGCGAGGAACCAGAATGATGATGATGCTTGGAGTCCGAAGGCTGAACAGTGTTAGGTATTAAGTAGTCATAGTATGAAGTAATGACGAGGTGTCCTGGGGCCTAGTCAGTGGGTTCTGCCAGTACATCAGTACATTCAAGCGGAATTTCGTTTCGTCTGTCTTTGAAGTAACGAACATCACGCACAGATTCGAGTCCTGCTAAAGGGCACTTTTGCAATCATCCCCAGAAGATACGAGCGGACATAGTTAGGAGTTTACCAAGTTTAACTGAGGACATCCACTCTGCGCACGAGGTGCTCATTAAACCAATTGCACCGCTCTAGTCTTCTAGTCACAGGGTGAGTCAGTGGAAGCTCGCAGTGTTGCATCGTGCTCCATTCTGGCTCGTATCCCAACGAAGAGAACGAGCGTTGGAGCTGTGGACAACTCCTCGAAAGCTTTGTGAAGCTGAAGTTCTCATTATAATCACCATGTCGGTAGCCCACATAAAAGCTTGGCAGACGAGCATGGAAGCAAGAGCCTAGCCTGCAGTGCCACTGAATTCGCAGGTTGGCGAGACTTGGCTAAGCGATGGCCAATCTAAGATAAGGTAGTCTACTATTCGGCGGACGTTCCTGCCTATAAAACGAGTTAGAGGTAAGGTCTGCCGCATAGCCCTAAAGAGGACGATCTTTGTCAGGGAAGGAGCTATCCGGATTCCATGGGGAGGGTCATCTTTAACAATCAGACTAGTTTTTCTATAGGGCGTGACGATGCTACTCAGATAGATTGCTCCCCCACCCTGGTGCAACTCAAAATACTGCAAGCACTGGGGTTGACCCCGAGCTGCGGAACCGAAAAGCTCCCGACTAGTAATACTCCGTAGAGGGCTTATGCTATCACTCTAGTTTCACAAACCTAAAATAGCTGTCCACAATTCTCGGTTGCCAAAAGTCTTGTTTGCAATTGATAATGACCTTGCATCAGAAATTAGACCCGAGAGACTTAGCGATGAAATTAAGGTTATTTTCGGAGCGTGGGTTTGAACTCCTACCTTCTCTGTAAGGACTAGAGCCCTATACACCGTGTTCATATGCGAGTCACTGACTTGAACCGCTCTGACGGAAAAGTAATTCAAGAACGTTAGCAAGAAGTTGCGACTCGTGGGTCTGCTCGTGCCATCGCGGCTGTTCGGCGCGCTTGACAAGGCTTGAGGGCGGTGCCCCAGAGAACAAGGTTCGATGCTAGAACCCACGCGCAATCCGCGCATTCGTTCCCTGAGTCGGAATCCTGTAAGCGATGTTGCAATCTACATTCTTCAAAGACTAGTATAGTATGCCACGAGTTTTATGTTCCTGGCCCGGGATGACGCTGTCACCGCAACGGCGACTAGTCATATCCCAAATGGATCGTGGATGGGTTTAGTTAGACCCACGCACACTTAGAATCGGGAGATTGTATAGAGTTCTGCAGTCATCTTATTAGATTTAAGAGCTTCGGAGTCCGCCCCATTATCCGTAGTATCCTCAACAACTAGTCTAAAAATCACTCATAGACGGTGCCATAAGCCAAACTTCTAGCAGTCGAGCATGTTTCGGCGTCCACTCTTTTTCACCATGAGTCCTTTTCTTCTCAGCGCCTTTTCGGCGCTTTTACTTGCTTCTTCTTTCTTACTTCCCGTTAATGCCGCGGCGCAGTCTTACAACTTTACCCAAGAGGCCATCAACAACGGCGACGCCCTCGCTCAACTTGCGGCAAAGGCTCTCACCAACTCCAAAGCCCTACACCAACGTCTGGGAGGATTTGCAAACTCGACATGCACGCCGGATAAGGTTCGCGTCCGTCGAGAATGGAGGACGCTTCCCGCAGAGCAGCGAAGAGCGTTTGTGGCCGCCATCGAGTGTATGCAGAGTTCCCCGAGCTTGTATGAGCCGGGAGTGATGCCTGCAGCGAAGACGTTGTACGATGACTTTGTGGCTATCCACCTCAAGCAGACTCCTGTCATTCACAGAACGGTAACAGTGAATCTATGAATCATGTTGTGCCAATGGCTAACGGTGCTCTTGTTCCTCTGCTCAGGCCAACTTTCAGCTCTGGCACCGCCTGTACACCGATGTGTTTGAGCAAAAGGTCCGCGAATGCGGTTATACCGGTAAGCCCTCGCAATTACAAATGCATCTGCAAATAAACATCTGACGCCATTCTTTAGGCACATTCCCCTTCTGGGAGTGGGGTTACGATGCTCAAGACCCTGCCTTGTCACCCGTCTTTGATGGATCAGACACTTCCATCGGCAGCAACGGCGCATTTGTCCCTCATGACGGTCTCGAGATTCATCAGGCTTACACCAACGTAACCCTCAAACTTCAGCCCGGATCGGGCGGCGGCTGCGTCATGTCGGGCCCCTTCTCCAACATGACCGTCAACCTCCCCGTCGTTCAGAACACCGACACCCCCCTGGCTGCTGACCCGCGCTGCCTGCAGCGAGACCTGAACAAGCACGTCTCTTCTCGACACACCACGTTCCGGAACACAACGCTCCTTCTGACTGAACACGACACGCTTGAGTCGTTCTGGGGTTTCTTGAACGGAGATGATCGTTACATCAACCCCCTTGAGCTGGGAGTCCATGCTGCTGGTCACTGGCAGCTCGGAGGCGACTCTGGTAACAACTTCTTCATCTCTCCGGCTGACCCTGCTTTCTTCTTGCACCACAGCCAGATTGACCGCGTTTATTGGATCTGGCAGATGCTTGACTGGGAGAACAGACAGGATATCTTCGGTACTGTGACGATGCAGAATATTCCGCCGAGCCGCAACGGTACTTTGGACGACCTGGTTGATCTTCGCCCTTTGGCCGAGCCAAGAAAGCTGAGGGACCTGATGAGCACGGTTGGAATTGGCGGCTCTCCTTTCTGCTATGTCTACGAAGGGTAATTGCTTTTGTGACATCAGACGGAGAGTGGGAGGCAACACATGACATTCGTTCAAGGGCCTAGATTGCCCGATAATTATTCTCCTATGTACTTTGAATACTTCAACCATAATTCGTCTTTCTTCAATCCCTCCATATCCTCGTCCCTCAAGCATATTGCGAGTGCGATGCTGCCATCCGGAGCTTTGGGAAGCAGGTACCCAAGGCTTTCCACGGGTGTGAATTGCGGTCTCCGGATCGACTCAGGCTTGCCCAATCCCAGTCCAAAGTCGTGCTCATAGAGGTCAAGTTTCGCCCACGAACTGAAGGCCAAGTCTCTGTCGAGACGAAGGGTGCCAGTGAAAGAGAAGACACTTTTATCAGCTGCCTGATCCATGAGCGTCGCCAGTGCTTTCACTCCATAGCTCAAGGTCTCGGGGTTTACTGTCGATCGGAGTTGAGATGCTGCTTCTCCTAGGGGTCTCTCGATGAGGCTCCCAATCGCCATGGAGTTGTTCGTCATGCTTTGGATAAGCGCTGGGAAGGTTTGAGGAATGCCCATGTATCCTCGCACATTGATGGCTCGCGCGATCTTTGTTTCCGTATCATGTGGTAGGCGATTCGCGCGGATGCGACTGATTGACTGCCAGATGAAGGCGGTGATAGCGTCGTCTGTTGTGATATAGCCCGAATTGACTGTTTCTGAAGCCAATGACTTGAGGGCTGATAAAGAAGCCGACGAGAAGTCAAAGTAGGCCCAGCTGCTTGTGGCAGGTGCTGTATCTGGAGTTGCTGACGGCTTGACGATCATCGCATCGGTCTTGGGCCCGCCCTTGTAGTCTTCGAGGAGGGGAATGATGTTGTGGCGCGTCAGGTTTCCAATTGCTACTTCCTCCTCAGTGAAATCTTCACCCTTGCACGCCTTGGATAAGAGTTTGATGAGCTGTCCCTGCCCGGTACCATCTAGTACTTGGTGATGGCCGAGGAACGCCAGAATGAGTCCGCCTTTGATGAAGGTGACTTGGGTGATGAAGACTGGCTCTGACTTGCCTACGAGGTTCGGGTCGATAGGCAGAGTTGGGCGAGGACAGATGATGCTTTCGTCTAGCATGCCGAAGGGGAAGTTGGAAGCTTTCATGTCTTTCATCGACGATACTGACGGGTCATTTCTCAAATCCTTGATGACCAAGGGCGGGGTAGCTTCATGCGGTGCGATTTTGAAGATTCCTGTATTACCTTCGCTGGCGCCCTCGTTGATGATTTGCCCCGCGACCCAGGGAAAACTCTCAGTCAGCCGCTCGAGACCACTTGACAGAGTTTTGGTGATATTTGCGTATGATTGCTCATCTTTGACGGAAAAGCAGACCGCTATCTGGGTGTAGATTTTCAGAGCTGGCTGCTGGCCCAGAATCTCGATGGGTTCGTTCATGTTACTAGAAGTGACTTGCTAGATACGTAGGAGGGCTAGAAAGGGCAATTGAAGTGTCGGACACCTGAAAGGGTCAGTTGTACTATTATATATATAGTAAAGTGACTGCTGTGTAATTGGGTAAGTGTCGTACAAAAACAAATCCGTAATTGCCGGCCAGCAATTACGCCTTATTTATCACAGTAAGACTTGCAGGTTAGGTAAGCCAACATGAGCTATTCACAGCATCGTCACACCCACTAACGCTGAAGACCCACTATGAATCATCATGGCTCAGCGCAATGACCGCCCCTCATTGGTCTGGGCTTTCCTACATGCACAGCCGCCCCCCGTCGCCTACCGAGGTACTCAGGCTGTGGTGATTTTGACTTGTGGCACATTCCCTCGTGTCTCTACTAGAATCGTACTTGGTGTATGCATCGTCGTTGGCATTGTCATTATCGCCAGTATCCCTTATCACGCTACCATTATATTCGTGCCTCTTTCTTCGAGTTTCTATTGCGATCAGATCGGAATACTCTCTTAAGGGGCGAAAGGTTGAGGGCTTGGTGATTTGCGGCCTGGTGCAACTATAAATGTTGACATATAAATTAACAATTACTATCCGTACTTAGATACTTAATCTTTTGATGTGAGATCGTATTGAGGGCAAACTGCAAGACCGAGTGGCATTCAGATCAGTTCTCCAACACAGAATGACTTTAACAATGAGATTTCTATGAAGGCCAAGCAGAATCACAACGAAACATCGGTCCTACATATTTGGTAGTTGTCATGAGCAGTCTCTCAAAGTCTTGTACAAATACCAACTCAGACTTCAGTAGTAATCTACAAGTGATAATTCTATACAATTATGATAGTCTGACTTGAGAAGTTGAGAACTCGATGCCCGGTACGTATCTGCGCAAGGGGCATGCAGACGCCCGCTTACCCAGGCCTTATCTCAAATCATGGTCCAATCAGACGAATCGTTCCCGAATTGATCCCGAACCGTCTTTCAATCGTCTCTCAATCAATCCTCAACAGAACATGATCTTAACATGATAGACTCATATTACCAACATGTTTCTATCCTACTAAAACTTTGAGCAATGAGAGCAAGGGTCACATGGCAGACCGTTTCACTCACCGTCGAAATCGAAATACCCTGCAGCGAACTTTCTTGACACTTCTCCCACTTTCACAAATCATAGTCCTCATCATCGGCCTCTTCCGTCCCCCCCTAACTAGGGGAATCTTTTGATGTTATCAACTCCGCAATCTGAACTACACACGTATCAATCAAACTACCCGTACCTCCGTTTTATTGACGTCGTCTACTATCCAACCGTCTTCTATGACTTGTTCAAATGGACTCCCCGCTATATTTTGCCAGCCGCACAGGCGCCTTTGTCGGAAACGAGACCCGCGGCCGCGCCGCGGCTATAAGACGCCGAGACGAGCTCGAGGCCGAGAAGGAAAAGCTTAGTCGAGTGCTCAGCATGGCCAGAGAAGGTGTGGCAGTAGCGAAAGCTAGCCAGATGGCGGCTGCAGAGACAGCTGCAGAGATCAACAACGATTATCAAGGAACTCCATGGGATAACCGATCAGACTGAGAAGGAGCAGTGGATTCACCTACGTTTGAAGAAGCATGCCGAAGAGGAGAAGGTATTGAGGGCACAAGCTGAGGCTATGTTCGGTTCAAACTGGGAGGAACACGTTGCTGCCCAGATGTGAGGCTGTGAATAGCACGGCCTGTCACGTACGAGACAGCTGCTAGCTTAAGGATTGTTCATTGAGTCGAATCCTTCTGCTTCGTTCTATCTCATTCAAGGCCCTGATTTACGCAATTACCCAGGTACTACCACCAAGCCTGCAAGGACCAGCCATCGGTTGATACCTACACTGACCGACATACCCTCATCTTGCTTATTTCCGGGGGACCTCGGAAGTTAAGCGATATCCACATGGCCTCCGCCTCAAGCGGACTTTGATCAACGACAGTCAGTAGCGGGGATATTAGCGACTACAGCGCTAAGAAGCACTTCTGACCTGCATGCCTGCCACCTGTTCAGGCACTGGACTCAGACACACCCGGCCAGTCGGCGGGTGAAACACCGACTTCTCAGGCGCCGGACGCCGCTCTGACGGCCGGCAAGTCGGCGGGTAGCCACCGACACTGCACTGTGAATGCGGTAACGAACACCGCGAGACGCCCTAGGGCGGAAAGGGGATCTACAGTTTGTCAGCCTGCATTCATAACCGTGATGACTCGGGATGAACAACTGCCGACAATGCGGCCATCTTTGGAATACAGATCAACTATATAATAAGAGCAAATCTTGGTGCACTCTAGGAGCTTTGTAGACTCAGTCTTCATCATGAGGTTTTCAATAAACATTCACGGCACCTTGCAGCTCAATCAAGTCTAGAGCTTATACTTAAGTTATTAGTTATCAGTTTCGCAATCATGGCACAAACACAGACACGCGGGACTTGCGACCCCATATTCCAAGAGGTACGCAAACAACTCCAGGACAACATCGACTCCGGGGAAGAAGTCGGCGCTGCCATCGCCGTCAACATCAATGGCAATGACGTTGTAGACCTTTGGGGTGGCTACACGGACAAGGAACGCACCAAGCCATGGAACAAAGACACTATTGTCACTGTCTTCTCCTCCACGAAGACAGTCCTCAGTCTCGCCATCCTCATTCTTATCGACCGTAAAGTCTTTTCAATCAAAGATAAGGTCTCAAAACATTGGCCCGAGTTCGCCGCCAATGGCAAAGAAGATATCGAGATACGCCATATCCTCTCTCACACCTCAGGTGTATCCGGCTGGGATGCCGATGGGCCGCTCTCTTTCGAAGACATATCCGACCTCGACAAAGCTGCAGCAAAGCTGGCTACGCAGGCACCGTGGTGGGCACCTGGCACAGCATCAGGGTATCACTCATTTACGTTCGGTCATCTACTGGCAGCCATCGTCCGTCGCGCGACAGGCACAACGCTTAGAGACTTCATCATGGAAGAGATCGCGAGGCCGCTTGGCGCAGACTTTCACTTTGGCGTTTCCGAGAAAGAGCTCCCCCGGACGACGGATGTTATTCCTGCGCCCATGCCTCCGATGAGCCCCGGAATGGGTCCCCAGCCGGGCTCTATAACGTTCAAGACCATGAACCCCCGGCCCTTTCCATCGGACTTTGGCAACGACCCTACCTGGCGTCAAGGCGACATTCTCGCCGGTAGCGGGCACGCCAACGCCCACGCGCTCACGCAGATCCTCTCGATCATCAGTCTCGGTGGCAGCGTCGACGGCAAGCGTTTCCTCTCACAAGAGACCATCGACCTCATCTTTGAGCAGCAATCGAACGGGATTGATCTCGTTATCGGCGCGCCTATTCGTTTTGGAGTAGGATTCGGCATTACGGGCGAAGGTGGTACAGCGGTTGCTGATTTCCTGCCCAACGGACGTGTTTGCTTCTGGGGAGGCCTCGGTGGATCGTTCGTCGTCATGGATCTGGACAGGAAACTCACCATTGCATATGTCATGAATAAGATGTCCATGTCGGGGTTAGGAAATAACGCTGCGAAGTCTTACATCAGGGCCATTTATAAGGCATTAGAGGAGCATTGAGCCGAAACTGTGAAGGCTTTCTTCCTTGTACAGCATGACCGCCTTAGCTCCATGGCAGATTATGTAATTACTTGGCTAAAGATATCTCACCACCTGCTAGATAGCGTCAATACACCTCTACGAACTTCGTCAAAGGGCATTAATAAATTACTAATCAATCCTATTCCCTTGTACTCGCCTCTGAATAATTTGGAAATTGAGCACGATTAGAGAAAAACCGGAGACAAATGTGCTAACGCCTCTAGCAGCTGATCGGATAACACCACCTAGAATTGTCATTTAACCTTACGAATTCACATACGGGCCTTAAAATCGTGACATCTGTATGGCAAGGATTCCACTTAGGAATACACCGATATTGTTGCCTACGTGAAATCAAGCTTCTCAAGTTCCGCACGCGGCAGGCAGAAATTTAAGAAAAGCTTTTTTAGTCCTACCAAGCAATTGCGATTGCTTGAAAAAGAGGCCCAGCACGAGCTCGCATTGTTGAATGTCATGTACCAGGTGGGCCCAGGCCATAGTCGCGAGCCGGACTCTCACTCCAACCGCATATGCTATGCAACTTTTCTCCACGAATATGCACCAACAACACAATGGCAACGTCTGCAGCCCCGCATATTTCCACCCAATTTCTCAGTACGACTGGCTCGGGTTGGTTTCCAGATAAACAGGCAGCAAGTGTTCTGCTGCCGCATTTCCGACCAGCAGTCAACCCCTCACCTGCGATGTACCTCTTAGGCAGCAATTTAGTCCGAAAGCGAACGACACTTGGCCAAGGAAAGACTAGAGGGATTATCTTGTTCCATAGGCTTCAAAGAGTTTGTAAGTGGTTCAAGATGTTATAAGGAGATTGCGAAAGTTTCTATCGTCTCAAAACATCTGACTGCAGACTATGTGCCTGGAATCGATCTTGCCTTGATTCTCGCAGATATTAATCTAAAGCTCTAATCTCAAAGCTCTATGAAATTCGGCAAAGACGGAAAAATGTCTCCATCAACTGTTGTACTCATCACCGGTGTCAATAAAGGTGAGCACTGTTCCTTGTCTTGATCGACTCTAAACGCAGTTGAGCAGGTTCCGATGTCTCGGTTTTAACAGCGCACCAGGTATCGGCAAGGGACTTCTGGAAAAGTACCTCGCTCGACCCAACCACACTATCATCGGTAGCGTACGAGAGACCAAAGCCTCAGCATCGCAAGACCTAGACAAAATTCCTAAGGCAGAAGGCTCCAGGCTCCTCCTCGTTGGCATCGATAGCATCTCATCAACAGACACTCTTCAAGCCTTCAAGGACGTCGAAGCAGCTGGCATTGAGCATGTAGACCTTATCATCGCCAACGCTGGCATGGGTCCGATGCCACCCAAGAAGCTGGACGCCGCTGAAATCGAGACCGTAGAATATGCCCTACAGGTCAACACCCTAGGCCCCATCCGTCTCTTCCAGGCATTCAAGCCGCTTCTCGAAAAGTCCAGTTCGCCGAAGTGGGTCTCGGTGTCGAGCGGTGCTGGGTCTATCACCAACTGTGAGAAGTACATGGCGTTCTACGCCGGTGCTTACGGTGTGTCCAAGGCTGCTCAGGACTGGTTTACCATGTAAGTCATTATGAGAAGTAGGATAGTGGATGAGATCCTGAGATAAATCCACTTACCACTCGTTCAAACCAGAGCTATTCACGCTGGCAACCCCTCGCTGGTCGCATTTGCCATCCATCCTGGGTAAGTGACTTTTAGGGCTATCTCAGGGGCTTCCATTAATATGAGGCGTAGCCACGTGCAAACGGATATGGGTAACATCGGTGCACGGATTGTGGGACTTAAAGAAGCACCCCATACTATCGAGGAGAGCACTTCGAAGACGATGGACTTGGTGAGTCATTCGCCCAGATTTCTCCAGATGGCTCGGACTTTGGAGGACTAATTTATTGCCAATAGATTGACAAAGCAACCCGCGAAGGTACCTCGGGCAAGTTCATCAATGTCATCAATGGCCAGGAAATTCCCTGGTGAAATGACGGCTCGAACCATTGAATCCTGTAGATGAGAGATGGGCCTTGCAGAGTACCAGCCAGCTTGCGACTAAAGAATGGAATGATTTATGGTCTACTTCGCTGGCTCGGCCTTGGTATCCTCGGGAGCAACAGCATATAGAGGCTTGAGGTTTCCCATCTCGTCACATGCGGAAAACTTCCAGCACTTCTTCTTGAAGCGATATGTGATGTGCCTGCAGATCAGTTTGAGGATTGGTGGCGCAGGTGGCCAGCTAGCCCACTGGTCGTTTTCAAAAGCAACATCGTGATTCGACAAGCAAAACGGTAGGCCCTTGATCAAGCCGAGAGTTTTCTACAAGTAGGAGTTGAAAAGGTCAGTCAAACACCATTCTTATGTGGTTGAGGAGACGTAACTCACCATGCTTTTATCTCCCTCTTCTTCAAATATCTTCTCCAGCGAAACCATCTTGTCCACGCCAAACACCCTAAGCTCCAGGATACTTGGGATTTCATCCCGGAGATGTTTCGTCAACACGTCGCCGAAGCCATCGATCAAGGTCACAAGCTTTGCACCATCCATGCTGCCATTTTCGGACACACATATGTCGACGTATGCCTTGAAGTTCGCCAGCGTATCGTGGAATTCTTTGTGTTGAGCGACATTGCCATCCATCAACCCCTTCTGACCTGACAACTTATCGATGGCTGGGAAGAACTGCTCTTCCTCGCCGGAGTGGTGGACGTGCAGCAGACTGTACCAGGCCAAGATGTAATGAAGAAAAGCTTTTGATTCAGATGCCTTGACGTGTGGTGCTTGAAGGTATATTGAATTGAGGCCCCGGATTATCATGTTGTGGACAAGAGCCATCTCGGAGGCAATGCGAGTGAACATGTCGGGCTAAAAGATTAGCGGCGAGTCCGAATTAACCTGCTTTGTCTTGGAAGACAAACCTCTGTAACGTCTTTCTCACTCATTGACTTTTGGTAAGTTGGTGTTGGTATCAGAGAGTAAGGGTGGTCAGCGTAGACGGGCGTCATGATTGATAATTGCAGGCCAGGCAAGCCTTCAAGATGGATGAGAAATTAGGATAATTGTCGAGATTGCGATATAACTATGCAGCGCATCTAGCATTTATCAAGAATTTCCGGACATGATTAATATGTGCGCGAGTTCCATGCCTTTCCCGAAGCTGGCTCAACGCCATTTCTAAATTTGATCCAGCGGTGGCTTGCGATCGTGGAAGCTACAGCTTGGAGCAGGACTTGAGACCAATTCAGACAAAGTCAACGCACACAAACATCTCCCTGTGGAGAGTCTGAACGTAGGTCAGCTTCGTTGCCCTTTCTCCCATTGGACACGAACATATTCGCGTATTCAGCGTGGCGCGCTAGTCACATTAGAGGGTGTCTGACTACTGAGCCAACCATGTCCGTGGGCATTTGGCGTGGACGCCATAGATAAGCTGGACTGAGACTGAGGCCCGGTGGACATAATGGTCTTGGAGCTGTCGGCGACGAATTGAAGGTGTCTACATGTATAGTGGAATTTCCATAAGTCCTGGCCCTCAAGTAAGTGACAAGATAATCTACAGTACAATAGATAGCCAACCTCCTCTCTTATCATTAACATCATCCTCAATACCACTATCATACTACAATATTTAGAAAGTATTCCCCCGAGAATACGTTCAAAGAAAAAGAGGATAAAGCTTAGAATATATATAATAGCAGCTCATTCTTTTATCTACTTATACCTATCTAGCGAAGGGACTACGAACCCACTGGGCATCGTATTAACCCTTTTATCTACATCTAAATCTTAACGATGGGATTGGAGTCTCTATGTTTAGACTGAAGTCTCAACTATAAGATGGGAGCATAGTTTTAACATGCGTCCTGTATTATTACTGCTTCATACAGTAAAGTATAGCGGGTAAGGGAAGGTCCACGCCAGATTGCTCCGGATGTGGTCCACTTTCCCGGTGTGTGTGGGGCCGGTCGGTCGGCTCCGCGGCTTGGAGCCGGAGGACTCAAGAGGATGCGGTAATGATATACCAGCATCTACCGCGTCAACCACTGCAACACAACAAGTGATATCCTTTCGGTACGTTCAATGAGAGAGCAGCTCAAGTTTCGTTGTGCCTCATAGTCAGGGCAAGTCCCAGTTTTCTCAGCTTCAGGCTGATGTTCTCATGTAAGTATGGGTGAGAATCGAATGGTTCATACGTAATGAATATCTACAGCGAAGTACAGGCGTAAGCATGGCCCTAAATCCAGTTTATAATTCCCCTCAGCAGCTTCCTTGGGCCAAATAACGCGCAAGGCTGAGCCTGAGCCTTATCTCCAACAGTCTCACGCCACATACCCCTTCAGCATGGAGTTGTAATATACATAAGCCGTACCAGAAGGAGGCTCAAAACTGTAGATATAATCACCCCACCACGGGCCTCCGCTCCACCAGCTGGCCCCCGTCCACACGTCTGAGTTGGCCTTGAGGTAATCGAGCATGCCCTTGATGGCGGTCTGGCATTGGGTGTTGGCTCCGCCAGCGAACTCGCCTAAGAAACCGATCTTGCCGTTCTGGCGCAGCCAATTCGTGGCAGCAGTGACCCTCTCGACACCGATAGTCGTAGAAACACACGCTGTTGAAGTACCGGAGCTATCTGAGTCGAGGTACTGGTGCATTTCATAAACGATCTTGTTCAAGGGGTCGGTAAGGGCCTTCATGTTATCGTTCACCGTAACCCACGACCAAGCGCCGGACCACGCATTCCCTTCGACAAAAATGTACTGAGTAGCTCCTGCCGCGCGGATGCCGTTGATGGCTGCTTGGTTCAGATTAAGAACGAGAGTTTGGTCCATAGTGTTATACTCGTTGTTGGTGTCAAAGATGACATGATCATTGCTCTTGAACTGGGTGGCAAAGTTCTTCCACCACGTTTGGAAAGCACCAGTATCAGTGATGATGTTGTCGTAGAACCGTCCGTAGTTGTGGGGGTCCAAGACAGCCCAGCCTCCACTTGAGGTAATGTGGTTGATGACGGTTGTGAGATTTGCCAGGTAAGCGGTATTGAAGCCTGCCGTTAGGGAGTTGGGAGTCATGCGCTCCATCTTGAACTGAACGCGGAAGGTGTTGTATCCCTGGCCGCGGAGGGTCTGAAAGGTTGTAAGTCTCGCGTGCCATCACCCTAGCGTATGATTTGGAAACTCACGGTAATGGTAGATGTATCCGGGAAGATAAATTCCGTACCCCAAGTACCAGGCAGCGTCTTCTCTCCGAATTCACCGCCGGCCTCGTTGACACCGAACCACTTCCAGCCTAGAGAGCAACTTCCCTCTCGCCTAATTTTTCTTGGCATCTGCTGTTAGTGAATGAGTGAGCCTACCACCAAATTACTAACAGCCGAAAACTCTTCACCTCCCCTTGCCGGAGCCCGCATCCGCGATGGCCTCACAGCCGCCGTCGGGCACCGGACTGATGTCGGCCGACCAAGCCGACCCCGAACCAGGCTCCGGGACACCTCCGGAGCCGAACCCCACCTCAAGAGCTAAGCGACGCCGCGACGCCGAGGCACAGCCGACCCGGCCCAGCCTAACGGGAAGCCAGCTTGATGCCACCACCGACGCCCCTACCTCGGCCGAGGGGCCCGCAGCCTCTACCGCATCTGCTCCGAGCGGATCTGCCACAGGGTCCGTCTTGACAGCCCTTGCAGAAGAAGCTAGACAGTACGAGGCACGGAAAGACGTCTTTCTGACCATTGCACGGTCCGTCGACAGCGTTGTCGCCAGCTTTGACGGTTCTAGAAAGCAGATCGCGAAAGAAGCCACTGCCTATGTCATTCAAACCCTCAAGAGACTGATCAATCACGAGACAAGCCCAATAGCGGCCCGGAGTTGGGCGGCTGTCGTCGCACCGATGGCGGGCAACACCACTGCGGCGACCCGGAGCGGCCAGAGCTGCCAGAGCTCTGCCCGCCCGAAGGCCACACTCCCCGCCGAGGATCAGCCGCAGGCGCAGCCGAAGGAGGACCTCCGCATCTTTGCCCGCGTCCCGGAAGAAAGCTTAGCGGCCGCTCGGAAGATCGCACCGTTCGCCGTACGACAGATCGTCTGTAAGGCCGTTGGCCTGGGGCTAGCGGACCTTCCCCACGTCTACCATATCAGCACAGGTTACTCTCTGAAGCCGCGAAACAAGCAAATACAGGAAAGACTACTTGCAAGTAAGGCAAAGCTGGCGGAATGCCTCGGCGCCCACCAGGTCGAGACGCCTATCAAGTGGTACACTTACGTTGTGCCGCGATGCCCAACAAAACTACACAGCATTGGCGGGGACGTCCTGGACCCAGCCACACTCGTTGAAGATGAGGTCTTCGCACAGACAGGACAGAAGCCTGTCCTTGCTCGACCGTCCCGCCTTGGGCCCAACCCAGTCACGAACGAAATATCTTGGCTCATATCATTCACATCAGAGGTCACGCCCTTCAGGCTCTTCAACCAAAGCGGCAGATCTCTGCCCGTCAAGAAACGAAGGACGCTCATCCGACACGACCCCGGCTGCCAGGGCTACCACTCCAACCGGTTCTGCGGACGACGACCGATCTGCAGCAACTGCGGAAGACCTTCCGATTCACACGAAACGGGACCCTGCATGGCCAGGCCCCAATGTGCCAACTGCTGCGGCCCCTTCCAAGCCAGCCACACAGACTGCCCAGCGAGGCCCTCGGCCGTAAACGGCGTCGTCTCCCTTCCCGGTCGAAAGGAGCGGGCTCGGATCCGGAAGGCCGGCCAGAAAGCATCGGACACTCTGTACAAGGCTACTCGATCCGACAGTAGCCAGGAGGCGGCAGGCGTCCCTACCTCCACCAGCCAGAACCAGCAACCCGGCGCCAAGCGCGCGCGCACGAGAACGCCCTCCGCAAGCTCGATCGTTTGCCTCGGTGACGGAAGCACTGACAGCAGCAGCATGGGACGGGCGGCGAAGGGGCGGGGAGTCCCCCGCCCTCGTCGCCTCGTCTCCCATGCTGCTGCTGTCAGTGCTTCCGTCACCGAGGCAAACGATCGAGCTTGCGGAGGGCGTTCTCGTGCGCGCGCGCTTGGCGCCGGGTTGCTGGTTCTGGCTGGTGGAGGTAGGGACGCCTGCCGCCTCCTGGCTACTGTCGGATCGAGTAGCCTTGTACAGAGTGTCCGATGCTTTCTGGCCGGCCTTCCGGATCCGAGCCCGCTCCTTTCGACCGGGAAGGGAGACGACGCCGTTTACGGCCGAGGGCCTCGCTGGGCAGTCTGTGTGGCTGGCTTGGAAGGGGCCGCAGCAGTTGGCACATTGGGGCCTGGCCATGCAGGGTCCCGTTTCGTGTGAATCGGAAGGTCTTCCGCAGTTGCTGCAGATCGGTCGTCGTCCGCAGAACCGGTTGGAGTGGTAGCCCTGGCAGCCGGGGTCGTGTCGGATGAGCGTCCTTCGTTTCTTGACGGGCAGAGATCTGCCGCTTTGGTTGAAGAGCCTGAAGGGCGTGACCTCTGATGTGAATGATATGAGCCAAGATATTTCGTTCGTGACTGGGTTGGGCCCAAGGCGGGACGGTCGAGCAAGGACAGGCTTCTGTCCTGTCTGTGCGAAGACCTCATCTTCAACGAGTGTGGCTGGGTCCAGGACGTCCCCGCCAATGCTGTGTAGTTTTGTTGGGCATCGCGGCACAACGTAAGTGTACCACTTGATAGGCGTCTCGACCTGGTGGGCGCCGAGGCATTCCGCCAGCTTTGCCTTACTTGCAAGTAGTCTTTCCTGTATTTGCTTGTTTCGCGGCTTCAGAGAGTAACCTGTGCTGATATGGTAGACGTGGGGAAGGTCCGCTAGCCCCAGGCCAACGGCCTTACAGACGATCTGTCGTACGGCGAACGGTGCGATCTTCCGAGCGGCCGCTAAGCTTTCTTCCGGGACGCGGGCAAAGATGCGGAGGTCCTCCTTCGGCTGCGCCTGCGGCTGATCCTCGGCGGGGAGTGTGGCCTTCGGGCGGGCAGAGCTCTGGCAGCTCTGGCCGCTCCGGGTCGCCGCAGTGGTGTTGCCCGCCATCGGTGCGACGACAGCCGCCCAACTCCGGGCCGCTATTGGGCTTGTCTCGTGATTGATCAGTCTCTTGAGGGTTTGAATGACATAGGCAGTGGCTTCTTTCGCGATCTGCTTTCTAGAACCGTCAAAGCTGGCGACAACGCTGTCGACGGACCGTGCAATGGTCAGAAAGACGTCTTTCCGTGCCTCGTACTGTCTAGCTTCTTCTGCAAGGGCTGTCAAGACGGACCCTGTGGCAGATCCGCTCGGAGCAGATGCGGTAGAGGCTGCGGGCCCCTCGGCCGAGGTAGGGGCGTCGGTGGTGGCATCAAGCTGGCTTCCCGTTAGGCTGGGCCGGGTCGGCTGTGCCTCGGCGTCGCGGCGTCGCTTAGCTCTTGAGGTGGGGTTCGGCTCCGGAGGTGTCCCGGAGCCTGGTTCGGGGTCGGCTTGGTCGGCCGACATCAGTCCGGTGCCCGACGGCGGCTGTGAGGCCATCGCGGATGCGGGCTCCGGCAAGGGGAGGTGAAGAGTTTTCGGCTGTTAGTAATTTGGTGGTAGGCTCACTCATTCACTAACAGCAGATGCCAAGAAAAATTAGGCGAGAGGGAAGTTGCTCTCTAGGCTGGAAGTGGTTCGGTGTCAACGAGGCCGGCGGTGAATTCGGAGAGAAGACGCTGCCTGGTACTTGGGGTACGGAATTTATCTTCCCGGATACATCTACCATTACCGTGAGTTTCCAAATCATACGCTAGGGTGATGGCACGCGAGACTTACAACCTTTCAGACCCTCCGCGGCCAGGGATACAACACCTTCCGCGTTCAGTTCAAGATGGAGCGCATGACTCCCAACTCCCTAACGGCAGGCTTCAATACCGCTTACCTGGCAAATCTCACAACCGTCATCAACCACATTACCTCAAGTGGAGGCTGGGCTGTCTTGGACCCCCACAACTACGGACGGTTCTACGACAACATCATCACTGATACTGGTGCTTTCCAAACGTGGTGGAAGAACTTTGCCACCCAGTTCAAGAGCAATGATCATGTCATCTTTGACACCAACAACGAGTATAACACTATGGACCAAACTCTCGTTCTTAATCTGAACCAAGCAGCCATCAACGGCATCCGCGCGGCAGGAGCTACTCAGTACATTTTTGTCGAAGGGAATGCGTGGTCCGGCGCTTGGTCGTGGGTTACGGTGAACGATAACATGAAGGCCCTTACCGACCCCTTGAACAAGATCGTTTATGAAATGCACCAGTACCTCGACTCAGATAGCTCCGGTACTTCAACAGCGTGTGTTTCTACGACTATCGGTGTCGAGAGGGTCACTGCTGCCACGAATTGGCTGCGCCAGAACGGCAAGATCGGTTTCTTAGGCGAGTTCGCTGGCGGAGCCAACACCCAATGCCAGACCGCCATCAAGGGCATGCTCGATTACCTCAAGGCCAACTCAGACGTGTGGACGGGGGCCAGCTGGTGGAGCGGAGGCCCGTGGTGGGGTGATTATATCTACAGTTTTGAGCCTCCTTCTGGTACGGCTTATGTATATTACAACTCCATGCTGAAGGGGTATGTGGCGTGAGACTGTTGGAGATAAGGCTCAGGCTCAGCCTTGCGCGTTATTTGGCCCAAGGAAGCTGCTGAGGGGAATTATAAACTGGATTTAGGGCCATGCTTACGCCTGTACTTCGCTGTAGATATTCATTACGTATGAACCATTCGATTCTCACCCATACTTACATGAGAACATCAGCCTGAAGCTGAGAAAACTGGACTTGCCCTGACTATGAGGCACAACGAAACTTGAGCTGCTCTCTCATTGAAGTACCGAAAGGATATCACTTG